GGCTTTGACTTCCGCCTCTCTGTAGTAGGAGCAACCAGCGGCTCTCTCCCAAGTTTCCAACCACGTCTAGGAAGAGAAATAGCATGCCGTCATCGGGAGACCTCATGGCTGGAGCGATGAAAAATTTCCATTTTTTTTAATTTTGAAAGAGAACTTACCGGCTTTTTTCTCTTATATCTACCATTGACCTCTAGGGAGCCGGATGGCTCCTACACAGGGCCCGGCGGGGGTGGCGCTTTCACAAGCTGGATATCGTTTTTGGCCCGAAAAAGCAAAGGGGAAGTCGTATTTTGGGGTCCGGGGCTCCGCCCGGACCCCAAAATATGACTTCCCCTTTGTTTACCGATAAGCAATGCACATATCATTCTTTATTCATCATTCCTTGTTGATGCTACTGTTCTATGAACTTAGATTCCAGCAATGTGAAGATTCTCTCCGATCGCTAGCCTTCCGCAGGCGGGAATACAAATCGCAATTCTTGTAAGAGGAAAATAACAAAATAGGCTCGTTTTCAATGCACACGTAACGATATGGCACCAAATTTGCTGTGTAGTTGGAGGACCATGAGCACAAAAAAAGTGTGAAGAATTATGAGAAACTTATGTAAATTTAAAAAATGGTAAGTGTTTTTCGAAACTAGGTGGCTCCCGCGCCACCTGGGAGCCACCTGGGATGGCTCCCTGCTTCCCTTCACATAATTTCCCGGATTTCTTTACATAAATGTGGACACGGTCGAGAGTATTACTATACGTTCAAATCCGCTTCCAAAACCACCAAGCACCGCTTCGATACAGCCCCAAATAGGGTTCACAGCGTTATGCTCGGCCTCGGAAAGCGCGCTCCAATCGCAATCGGTTATTGTAAATTATAAAGTTTCGCAGCTGACTAATAAATGAGTAGTATCTTAGATATATAAACGTCAAAGTTTGTGCAAATCTTGACCCTATGCTTTTTTTATATATTCCTTTGTGGATGAACCCATTGAGCTGAAACCTTGATGACCCGGGCTGGACCAGGAAAGCCAGGTAGTACTACTATAATAAGCGCTGAGGCCGCCCATCTTATTATTTGTGTATATCTGCTTGTCAGGGACTTACGGGGGTCAAAAATAGGGTCAAAGGGGAAGACGTAAGAAATTTCGGCTTCAAAGGGGATATCGTTTTCAAAATTCTGAAATGCCACCTCCTGCCGGGCCCTGCTCCTACAATATGGTAGCAAGCGGCATACTGCGCGGTTATGCCGATGTTCTAAGTTTATGCTTAATTACACTGCTTGCATGAAAGTGAAAGTTTCACTTACCTAAGTAGAAGGGTTATCTACAACTTTTATCAGAAAAGCCTCGGCAGCGTAAGCTGAGTCGCTTATCAGGCAGCCAGGATTCTGTCCGTCTTTCATAGCCCAATTTAGGTAGGGACGAAATTCTCGAAAGATGCCTCTATCATGAGCGATCAGGGAACGTTGCCAGTCCACGTTGAATAGTCAACGAAATAAGTATAGTGGAGATACGATACATGACAAAGATTGTAGTTGCATACTTTTACACGGTTTTTTAGCCGCCTGTAGGACCCGGATAATTGGTTCAGGCTCCATAACATTAAATAGTAAAATAGCAATTCATAATTTTTTTGAGAGTGCCCTCGAGCAGCGCAGTCATGCAGGGGGTATGTGCAAAAACACCCCCAGATTCATTATGGGTCAAATGATCTAGGGCGAGCTTCCAGTCCTGAACGGTCGCCCCTCCATGCGTTCTCGTCGCTCACTTGCAACCAATTGTAGAGCTCGTTCCTCTCCATACCCAAAAATTATTTATTGTCTTTTTTCTTTTGTCTTTCATATCCAAAAAAAGTTTTTTTCTCTGACCTACCAGTGATGATCGTTATCACATGTGCTGAGCGTGAGAAACGCCTATCATCCTTTCGAATTTCGATGGTGGATTTCTCCACCACAAGACGGGAACAGTATGCAAAGAGGAGTTCATCTTTATCAACCGGCGGAGGATATAGTGGAGGAGGGCTCCACACCCCTCTTAGTGGAGAGCTTGCACCTCACCAGCATCAAACCATTCACCACCCAGCCAATTCCGTTTAAAAAAACAGAAAAAGCATTGTATGTAAGACACCAAAGCAGTTTCACTAATAAGAACTGCAATTATATTCCTCTCTAGCCCCTTTTGAGCCGTGGTCCCTTTCAGCTCATCCTGGTGCTTAGTCCCAGTCTTCCGCAACTCATTCTGGTGCCTCATGGCTACCTTGTAATTCCTGTGCAGGCATTGCTCCAGCAGCGTGCTGATATGGGCCTCAGACTGAAGTGTGAAGTTGGCGATCGTTTTCTCCTGAGCGCTACTGCACGTCAGGTCTTCGCGTTCCTCAGCAATACTTTTCCACTTCACTCAGCAACAAATATTGTAAAAAGTTTTCATACAAAACACTAAACAAACAAATTTTACATTAGTTTATAGGTGTTCTCGAACGGCGACAAGTTGGTATACAGACAATTTATTGGTTGGCTGACATTTCGGTGCCAACGCCGTCTTCAAAGCCTGTAATTAAAAACGTATGTGTGAAGTACTTGCTGGCTTTCCTGCTGTAACCGAAGAGTTGAGCACGAGACAAGCAAAGAGCTAGACCATATCCCAACTTATTCGACGTCAGTCGAGTGATCTGACCTCTCGTGGTCAAGCCGTGCAGAATGTGATAACACGTCCTTGCTCTCTGCGATGTTTATACTTTGACAATCATAACCGCAGAAGCTTTGATACAGTGATAACTCTTTGATTACGGTAATGCACTCGTCCTTCTTATTCATTTTGGGATTACGTGACGTAATCCAAAATGCTTCGAGTGTTTTGCATGGGATAGTTGTTTGCTCGTAGGACAAGATTGTTGCATCAATATCAAACGGCATATTATCGTGCGATACTCAGCTATGTGCACTTAGGGGAGTGGATGCTTTACGTTTTGTGAGTCCGACTAAGTGCTCTTTGATCCGTAGACACAATCGTCATCCGGTCTCACCTACATATTCTTCACCGCATACTCGGCAGGTAATCAGACGACTCCGCATTTTAGGCAATCATCTGGTCTTCCAAAGGTACATATCACGCAATTTGGTGTTGAGCAAATTTTGTCATATGCGCGCTTGCGGATTGGCCGCTTCTTCAGATTGGGAGGAGGAATGTCTACAACTCTTACATATTTTTGCAAGCCCGCTTGATACAAACTCCTCCTAACAGCTTTACTTAAGTCGTCCGTTACGAAAGGTATGTAAAAGAAAACTTTTTGGGTGTCTTGGTATAAACAATTTTACATTACTTATAACTACGGAGAAATATTGCGATCTGGGCGACTCACTTCTCTACTTCGACAATACGCAGTCCAGTCGGTTGAGGCCGGAGAGGAATATGCATTGAACCAGTGGCCAATGGAAGATGACCTTTTGAGAAATTCGAAGAATGGAGAAGGAATGGCGACGATTTTGGGAATTTGAGAGACCCTGTCACTGGTAAGGGTGGGAGAATTTCCCAGATACTTCTCAAAAACCCTTTAACACGTTGACGACCGCGCCATTTTGGGCGAAACTCACACTAACCTCCTTCGCGCATTTGGCCCGTGCATACGCGCGGATGCACGAAAACATTATGTGGGAGTCTTTTTGACACTTATTCATAAAACATGCGAACTTTGTTCAGACATACAGGTATATCACAGAGCCTTACCAGGACTTACACAAATCAAGGATTTTGCATCGATTTTCCCTCCAATAAACCATGCAGTGGCTATATATGAGGTATCCCTCTTCGAGAAAAGCGTTGTAATACCAGGTGTTTTTTGCCTGATTCATCCTTGTTTGATTTCAAAACAGCTATACAGAGTTTTCACCTTCTCGAAAAAACGTAATTACCGTGTATTGACTGCATCAAAAACGGACTGACTACCAAATTTTGCGGCCAAAACTTCTGAACAGCTGCCGCGATGCCCTGTGTTCTGTAAGACAATCAGGCCACTAGTAGTATTACTGCATAGAAGTTACCTTAATATCTTTCGTTTGCACCTAAAAAGCTAGCGTGCATATGCGCGGATGCACGAAAATGCTAAACGGGAGTCAGGGCGTGCATACGTGCGGATACACAAGGTCGTCAACGTGTTAAGTCAGGAATTGTAGAAGCAAAGCCGGGGTCACATAGGTGATGTGCAGCGGGCTCTGATCAATATCAATTTGTCCCTTACAGTCGAACCGAAGGCATCCATTCCGAATCAACTGCAGACATTAAGCCGCTTTTGCTCAGTTAAGAGGGGTTCATTGCCTGGCGTCTTCAGGATCTCATTTAGGTCCACTAGCTAGCGGAGATAGCAGCATAGTCTCGGGATGCATCAGCTGTTTAAAGGCTGGCCAACGAGATTCGAGCCCGGAATTGACCCGCGTGGCCCCGGCACAAGCCGGTTGCCGTTATCCCCTAATTCTCCTCATTTGTACAGCTTGTGAAGAAAAAAATATTCATGTATACTACTGTATACGCGCTATACCTCAGGAAGCACAACACAGAGCTACCTAAGGATGAAGAGCGAGTTGCTCTATCAAACGTGCAGTTCACATTGCACCAAGATTTAGAACCACGCAGCCGTAGGAAGCAAATAGATTTATTCCAACACGTACATAGAAACTGCGCAAGAAGAGTTAGCACGAAGTCGCGACACCAGATGCAATAAATGAAAGCCTACCGTTTGTGATATTCGGAGAATACAAGGAATATCTCGTCTACAGCAATTTTCATCCAATTCCTAAGCTTACAAATGTGAAACAATCCAGTCAAATGGAATTCTTTACCGCCAATGAGTTAGCGCGGCAAAAAGACGTTTTTAAAAATGTGTAATTGCACACCGACAGGAAAACTCAAACTTGCAAAATAATCTACCGATTTTGACCTTAGATATTGTAGTCTGAGACCTTTTTGTGCTCTTTTCTTGCAGTTATTCCAATTACCGAAAACATTACTTTTCTGTGAATCACCTTTCCCTTTTCAGCGCTGCTGGATGATTAATAGTGGCGAAAACGGTGAAAATGTTCATATCGGTCTGCAGAAGCAGGTTTGTTGATCTCCTTCCTATATTGCGATATACTCAGGTAGAATGCAGCTTTTAGACAACTTCGTTTTTACTCCATTCTTTGTGGCCATCGCGCATTTTGGGTATCCCATGTTTTTTTTTCATTGAGTAGCTTAGGTTTCGCAGAAATCTTTCCGCATCCATCAGGTTCGATTACAGGGAGTTTTTATGAAGAAAAGGCCCTTGCATAGTCGGACGTTGAATAATGGAACGGCATCTGATCATTCATCACCGGATTCAAAGAAGATCAAAATAAATTCTACACCTGTGAAGAAACAGTCAACACCGTTAAAAAGGTAGTTTGGTTTCAGCACATTATATAGAGATTCTGAACGCATTCTACTTTTCCTTTTGAAATAAGTTCGACCAAATATAGAGAGCTTTGCTCGCGTTCTACTTTTCCCTTTTATAAGTTTGACAGTCTGTGTAGTCGATCATGCTAGATTATTCATACTGCATAGTTTGCTTTCTAGGACGCCCAAATTGGAAGTATCACAGACATGCTGCTCAGATTTCTCAGATTGGGATGAGTCACCCATCAAGCAAGGTTGGTACTCCTTCATTTTCACTGTGCGAACGGTTGGTTATAGTACGTAACCTCATAACGTTTGGAATATTTTGAAAGAGACCTTGTGTTTTTTGTTGTTATACTGTTATTGACTTTCTTTTCTTTGCTGAGTACTTGAACATATCAAGGAAATGCGGCGTGAAAGCACCTGTGTCAATTGCGCAGTCTCTTTTGCGTAGCTATATACCACGCATTCGAGCACGTAAAGAGTGCCTTACGCGCACACCTTTCATAAATGAGGCCAGTTTGGTGCGTGAGCCGTATGAATGTGACGAGAAGATTTGGCGATTTGCCGCTAGGAAAGGGAGTAAGTGATTGGCACATAAGCATTCTGGCGCTTGAGGATTAGAGTTGTGGAGTGTATGTGTTGCTGATGCGTTCGGACAGCAGATACAGAGAGTAATTCACTTAAAGTCGAACAATGGTCCTTCTACCCTAAACTTTGTTGTTACATACCAATTTGAGGGTTGCTCAAAACTCAGCTAAGAAAAGCTTTTTAGTTGTTTTGCTATCAATCATTTACACCTATCATTCTTGCAAGTGTCCTTTTTAGTTCTTCATGACAAGAACTCTACTCTTAGCTCTAATTTGGTCGCAGAAAAGGAGAATTCCGAATTTGAAGATTCATTCGATGAGCCAGTATTTGCAGGTCAGTAACTTTACCAAACATTCTTTGCGTAGTCATCACTTTTATGAACATCACCTAGCACGTTCACTTTTTGTAGTGTCACAGTATCTCCGCATGAACTCTAAGGCACTGTGTTTCTTAATTGCAGTTTCGGCATCAAACTTAGTTGCTGCATTTTCGGTTCAATACAGTTGCTGCATTTTCCATTCAATGCACTGTAAAAAATTATCATGAAGTAACATCCATATTCAGGTTCACCGATAAAACGAACGCTTTCTTGCGCGACTCATTCACCAGGTAATATGTTTTCTTTTCTTGTAAGCACTGTTGTAGAACGTTCTGTCTCATAATTGTGACCAATCTTGTGAGCGTGTACATTTTTGATGATTGTTAGATTTTAGTCAAGCGTTCGCCTGCGTTACGTCTTTTTGATGAGCGAAGCTCGGTAGCCAATGGCCAGATCTCGTCCAGATCTCTGTCGATCAGTGCAGGTATATCTTGAAGAAAGATGTTGAAGATTGGTTGAATCTTCATGCATGTGTTTTTTATTATTGAATCTAGATAGTGACATTCCTGGTTTCCCTTCACTTTCTACCTCGAACTCTGAGGTGGAACTCACTGTAAAAGAGGTCAAGCGTGAAGATGGTTTTGTTGATCTTATCTGCAAGTCAAAAGATGGACAAGAGTCAATTGTCTATTTACAAGTAAGTGTTACATATCACTCGAGATTATTTTGAGGAAGTGCTTACTATAGGACCAATGGGCAGAGGTGCTTATTGAACCTAATACGCAAGTAAGACTCTTCGGTGCTCAGCGATGGGGGACTTCGGCAAGTTTTTTTTTTGGCTTTTGAATTTCTTGTGTATTCCACGTATGTAAATATCGTGTAGGACTGGTTGCTCTCGAATGAGAAAGGCATTTTGATAGTAGATCCGGACACTCTTGTTCCCTGCACCGGTGTCGCAAGTTCAACATGGTGCTCTCGAAAGGTTAGCTTCTTTCTTCTTTCCTTCCTTTCTTCTTTTTTTTTCTTTTTTCGTCTTATTATAATCTACGCGCGGAATGCTTGTCATTCTGAGTTAAGTTCTGTTTATTTCTTCTTTTTCTATCGATGCATTTCATGACATTGTGCTGTATTATATAACTCTGAATCCGTAAAGAGATCTGTTCAAGGTTGTTCTGAATGAGCGATTTCGTGGACCTGTAGAAGCTAACAAGGCGATGCTCATTGGAGTGATCGTGCATGAGCTGTTCCAGGTTCTTTATCGCCGTTTTCAATTTGCAAAGTTGGTTCGAAAAGCCGCTTTTGTAGGCTGCTATCCGTTGTCCGAACACGGCAATGGTCACAACTGATTGGCTCCTGAAACAATGGCGAGACTGTCTTTGTAAAGAAGTCGTTGGCGATCTAGCTGCATTACGACTTACACCATCTCAAGTTGAGACTGAATTGATGCCGTATGCTGATGTAAGATCTATAGTTGTTGGGAGGTTGTGAAATTGTTCATCTTCCAGGTGGTGGAAGACTGGGTCCAAAATAACATCCCAGGCGGTTCCTCCTACCCTCCGAGTAATGCTGCGTATCAAGTCGTAAAGGTGAGCTTGTTTTAGTTGATGAAGGAGTCTATTTAGAAGTCAGTGATACCTATTTCTTTTAGCAAATTCTTGCTCTGTAAATTGATGAACTTGAAGTTATTTATCCTTTATGATTTTATTTTTTAGGTTCATGACATTGAAGAAAACATCTGGAACCCTCAGCTGGGCATCAAGGGCAAAATTGATGTTACATTAGAGGTGAAAGACACAATTTCTGTCCTGTTGAATAAGGTCTTTACCCATAATTTTAGACGAAGACCCATGAAAGGATTCAGCAGCGACCGCTAGAGCTGAAAACTGGCAAAAGTGGACCTTCTTCTGATCATGCAGCACAGGTATGTGCAACTACTTTCTCTACTCTGCAGTATACATTCTTGACTTTAGGTTATGCTGTATAACCTAATGCTTTCGTCTCGTTATAAGCAACCCATCGGGAATGGCTCGCTGCTGTATCTCAAAGACGGAGTGACACGTGAAGTGCGTTCGCGCGCTCTTGAACTCAAAGGCATCATAAATCAACGGAACAATCTTGCATTTTACATGTCCAGGTTGAAACCTGACATACTCCCAGGTGATCGGTCGCTTTTCTTCAGTTGATTATAACTCCTAGATCGTCTTCTAGAGCCTAGGACTGATCCGAGGTTTTGTGGAAAGTGCGATCAGGCTTCTGTCTGCTCTTTCTACCAGGTATGCAGTAATGCTTCAGAACCTTACCTTCATCGTTTTGTAATAATAGGTTGCAATGGAACCTGCGGGCAGATCCTCCAAGTTAATGTACGACTTTGCTAAAGCAAATATGCAGCATCTGTCGGCTAATCATCTCGGTACATTCATACTGGTCTCCACGCTTTTGTCAACAATCAATGGCAGACTAGAAGCAACTTGTTTCAGAATATTTCAAAAAGTGGATAAGGTGGATCTATCATGAATGGGCAGAAGACAAGGCGAGAAAGGGTAGCAAGTTGCAGGATTTGTGGCGGAAGTCACCAGAAGAGAGGTTTCATTTGCTAATTTATTTTGAATTTTACTATCTTTTATTTTGCCCTAATTCTATACTTCTGCAGTATTTAAATGATGTTTCATGTCACTGTGTTAGACGTTCTCTACCTAGTTTCTGTGACCGCTCAAGGACACATTCCAAAATTGCTGTCTCAAAAGTTTTTATTTGCATCTCAAGCATAGATATTGACATTTCAACAATTTAGAGAAACCTGAATTATTATTTTATAATGAACACAGACAGTATCAGCAACTATCCGTCCTTAAGCGTATTCGATAAAACATTGTGATCCGTGCACTTCCTAGTCTAAAGTATCTCCTTGAAGTAAATAAGAGCTTCCTTAAATTTCACATTATCATTTGCTCACCCTCTTGTAGAGTCCTGTGAGATTCTCACTGCTGATTATATCTATGCAACATATATCTACGTTTAAGGGAGGCCGATGGCTTCTGTGCATCCTCGCTTCGTCTGACCAGCTCTGTCGACAAGTCTACAGAAACCTCTTCCTCTTTCTTACTTACTTTTGAAGGGTACTTTTTGTGCGTAAAGTCGCTATATCAAGACGGTAATCCCTTTCACATAATTAAATTGATTCAGTGGTGGCAATATCTCCTCCAGTACATTTTCGCCTGGGAATATGTGTACAGTCTCAACCACGACGAAGCCTGGCATTCTTTTGGTACCTGTCATTGAGTCTAGTTGTGAGTGGTACTGTATCGGTTCGTCTTAAACTTCTATTTATATCGCTTCCAGCTACATCCGTGACAGTGCGTAGCGATAAGATGCTGGATAATGAAGAGGTCTACCATCTCGATCTCTACAATAGCTTTACTACATACTCTACAACCCTTGGCAATCTTACTCTTCTTATGGGCTCAGATGAACGCAGGTGAGACAGCGCTATTTTCTTCATAGGTCGTAGCCTTTTTCTGAATTTGTGCAGAATTTAAGACTTCGAATATCTCATTGCATTTGAAAAGAAGTTGTCGGGCAGAGATAACACAAATTTTATCTCTTGTGATTTGCCATTTTCAAGAACATCGTCAGCCGAAAGTTCGACCTACTTTATTATAAGTGTGGAATAACTGCGTGTATTTAGCACTCATCTGCGTGAAATGATTGCGGATCTAGTCCCACCTTCACCATGTGAACTAGACCGTGCCACTCTTCCCATTTCTGTGCAGAAAATACTTTCTGAAGATGAGCTGAATGAAGAGCAGCGAGAAGCTGTACGTTCTGCGTTGCTTTGTAGTGACTATACCCTTATCGAGGGATTCCCAGGATCAGGTGTCTTTTTTTGAAATCCTATTAGTTTTTCGAATTCAAATATGTTTTTTTAGGAAAAACGACTACCATAGTTGCTCTGCTAAGATGTTTACTAGAAATGAAATGTTCGGTATTGCTTACGGCAAACACTCACTCTGCTCTGGACAACGTATTAGCCAAGTTGAGGAAGGTAAGACTAGACTAAAGTATATTTACAAAGAAAGTCAACGCCCTTACTCTAGCATGTGGACGCAGGAAAATTGCTGCGTCTCGGCAAATCGAGTTCTGGTCGAAAGGTTGTGGCGGATTTGACCTTGCAGTCGAAATTGAAAGGTGTTTCAGGCGAAAAATATACTGCTACTAGAGATATTTTGAAAAACACGGTCAGTTGGCTCCATCAACTACTTTTTATCCTGTAGTTTTGATAAGAGCAGAATTTCAGCCCCTAGTTGCGAGCACCTGTCACAACGTACCCAGGGAGCTTTTGTTTTCTTGGAGAAAATTTGATTGCTGTATTGTTGATGAAGCTTCAATGGTAGGGCTCTGAGTAGAAGTTCTATGCAAAACTCATGTTGTTAGGTTCTGGAACCAGTTCTACTTTCATCATTAGCGGCTGCTAGTCGATTTATCCTAGTTGGTGATGCTCACCAGCTAGCACCAATCGTTCAAAATACCAAATGCGCGTGAGTTTTTTTTTCGGCTCTTTCGATTCACGAAGTCAAAGCACATCAAAGTTTATATTTTAGAGATGAAGGAATGGCGGTATCGCTGTTTGAGCGGCTGCAGGTTCACAAAAATGCGCTACATTCACTCGTTTCACAATATCGGATGAATAGGTAGTCATCATTCTTCCACAAAACCAAAGGGACCATGTCAAAGTTTTTTTAATCGCAGCGATTTACTTCTGCACGACTAGTGCTTATCGGCGGAGAGCAAGAAATTCTGGGGAGAAGACAAATGTGAAATCTTTTTAGTGACCCTAAATCCCATGAAGAATGTCCCTGAGCTGATCGTTTGTATAAGTCTTCTATTTTTGAGAACACTCTTCCCTATCAGGGTGTGTTGTAATTTTGTACTCTCTCTAATTTCTCCCGCACTTTAACTAATAATTTGTTGTTTCTTTCATGTTCTGCGGGGTCATTCGACATACCAAAGCAAGCTCTACAAAACCGCCTCATCTACTCATGTTTCACACAAGATTTGAAGTTGAAATCTAAAATTTCAAAATCCAATTGCTCGAATAGTCGAGAAGAAATCTTTTTTTCGTTCAGAAAAGGCCTAAAAGCTTCTTGTTTGCTCATGCATATACAGTGACCGCCAAAAAGCTGCGGACAAACCCCTCTCCCTTTTTCATCGCTCTTTTTGAGAGGGAAAACAAGGATGGAAAAATGTAATAATTGCATGAGGTGATAGAACTCTTCAAGATCTGCAATCTACACTTTAAGCCTTTTGAGAAACATGTGTTCTAAAAATTTTAAAAACCTTTTTCTAGAAAAAGTCCGAAAATGGCCGCGTCACAATGTCGCGGACAATAATTCTTCGAACGCAAAAATTTTCTTTTGAGTCCTATTTTAAAGCGGAAACACAAGCTATCCGTACGGGTAAGCATATTACTATACAGAGCTCGTCAAGAACTACACACTGGTTATAGTTGCTTCCCCAGAAAACGCAAGCTTGAGTTTTATTTTAGTTTTTTCAAAAAACAACTTCTAATTTCCTTTATCAAGCCAAATTTCTTCACACGGAAACCAGTTCAAGACATTCCAACAAAGCCGTCTGGATAAATAGATGCTCTTTGCCATCCTCTATGCATCGGACGTGTGCTGATGAGTTTCCTGGCTGAAAATGGCCCTTGGCAGTGCTTGCACATGACCCCACCTGCATCTCACCCTGACTTGTGCCGCTTTGCAGGCTTGTAACTCGGCCGCCAGACGCTGTAAGAGTCTGCAAGTAGACTCATTCGAAAGAGCGTGAGTTCCTGGACACGATGATATGCAAATGAGTTGAGTTTGAGAAATTTCGGAGATTTGGCGCATGGGGTGAAAAAGTGCAGCCCTAGAGGTGATTGGTGTGAAAGCTCTTATGGACAGCAGAACAGTCTTAGAGCTTCGAAATGGATCTATTACAAGAAAATTGACAGTTTTGAACTTCCAGGATGAAATTGGTAGCGAAAGGAGCTCTCTTCATCTTTAGCTGAAAAGTGCTTAGACTACAACTGAAGCTGTCCTCTACCACCCCATCCGCCAAATCTTTGGGATTGCTCAAACTAAACTTATTTGCATACCATCGTGTACTCAGACAATTGCATCGGAAAGTTCGCGGCCTCAAAGCGTGTTACATGGAGCGCCGCGGCCCTTAAAATTGCAGCCCCGCACGCCGCGGCCCAAGTATATTTTACTGGGAACGCCGCGGCCAAAGTTGAAATTGGGAAGAGATTATCGGTAGGGTCGCGGCCCAATCACCTCACATGGCGGGCCGCGGGCCTTATCAAAGGCCGCACTTCTTACACGCTGTAGGGTAAGGCGCAACCCGCGTGAGGTACGTCGCAGCGTTTGGGCTACCCTAAGTGTTTAAAAAGCTGAGTATCACTTGAGATTTGGTCATGTTTGACAAAATCGAGTTTTCATGATTGCGAAACAAACTCTAGTAGTCAGTTGACCGTTATCGACGACACTACACTAGGTGATGTCGACAGATGAGCTAACGAGTTGCTCAGTTTGCACTCAAGTCGTCATTCTGAAAGACAGATTAAATAGTTTTTCACTCTTCTTAGGTCTTACAAGCATGCTAATCGGGTCAACTATAGGCTCCTAACGTGCACTTACAAGATGTGCCGCGGTCACTTATCGGGTATAATATAAGGGTTTACCGGGCAGCTCGCGGCATGGATGATTGGTGGTTGGGCAAGCACCCGCGAACTTTCCGATGCAATTGTCTGAGTAGAGGAAGACTCGTTCTTTCGAATGAGCCTAATTGCAGGCTCAATATTGACTGCAGGCCGAGTTACAAGCCTGCAAAGCGGTACGAGTCAGTGGTGAGGTACAGATGGGGTCATGTGCAAGCGCTGCCAAGGGCCATTTTCAGCCAGGAAACTCATCAGCACACGTCCGATGCGAAGTGGATGGCAAAGAGCATCTATTTTATCCAGACGGCTTTGTTGGGATGTCTTGAACTGGTTTCCGTGTGAAGAAATTTGGCTTGATAAAGGAAATTATAAGTTGTTTTTTGAAAAAACTAAAATAAAACTCAAGCTTGCGTTTTCTGGGGAAGCAACCATAACCTTTGTGTAGTTTTTGACGAGCTCTGTATAGTAGTATGCTTACCCCTTCGGATAACTTGTGTTTCCGCTTCACAATAGGGCTCAAAAGAAAATTTTTGCGTTAGAATAATTATTGTTCGCGACATTGTGACGCGGCCATTTTCGGACATTTTTAAGAAAAAGATTCTTAAAATTTTTAGAACACATGTTTCCTTGTAGATCTTGAAGAGCTCTATCACCTCATGTAATTATTATATTTTTTATCCTTGTTTTCCCCCTGAAAAAGAGCGATGAAAAAGGGAGAGGGGTTTGTCCGCAACTTTTTGGCGGTCACTGTATTTCTCTACATCTGGTATTTAACGGTGAATTCGCCTATTTTCACGGATGGAACTTGAGAAACATACGTACCCCAAAATAACGCAAAAAACATGGAAAAGTCGTCTCTTTGCGTTTTTTTTTGCGCTAAATTTGATATTTGTTTAAAACTATTGCCTGTGAAAGGCCAAAAATGCCCTATCATTTAGCGGTTTATACTATAGAGTTGCCCATGTAAGTGAGTTTGGTGCAGTTTCAAAATATCAAAATCATTTTCATCTCCATTTATAGCCATGGAAAAAATTAAGCAAATGTATATGCAAATGCCTGATGTGAATAGTGCATGCCTTAGAAAGTAGGAAGCATGTAGGATCTTATGGACGAAAATACGTTTTTTCTCGACTTCTCCGACATTTAGATCTTCTAAAATTTTGGCTTCGAGCTTTATGTAGAACAAACTGTGCCAAATAATTTAGTGCTATCTTGTAGTGCTTTGCTCTGTCGAACGGTACCACGATTTATCTAAGGGACAAAGGGATTTTTTTTAATGCGGGAGAAGATAAAAACAGTGGAAAATTATGAGACGCCCTAATACCGTCATCTTCCTTTTCCTTGTTTCTCACCTCTACGATTATACTCAGCAGCGCGGCCATCGTCTGCTCTTATGGAAATTGTCACTTTTCAAGGTTCAAGGTCTCTAGATTGCAGTCTCAAGCAAGTCTGTGATAGATCTGGCTTGAATAGCGAGAGGTTTTTGGTGAAATTGCAATAAAAAAAAACGACGATTGCAGCGACTCAGTTCTTTTTTTTCTTTGATTATCTTCCCTGCTGGTGAGAGTAGATAGATATGATAATTTTGAGAATACCATTTTGAAACATGCCGAGACTCCTGCTTGAATCTACTCAAAAAAATGAGTGAAACAAAATGTTTAGTGTGATCGCGAAACTCGGCAGTGAGCTTTTCTATGACGATCGTCTTGTCTGTGGAACCGATGAAGTGTCCAATGCTTGCCTTTCTGAATCGCAGAATTACCGAACGTCTTGCAGCGAGGAAGGTTTATAACATTCTACTCAGGTTTTTTTTTTGTAAAATATGTTAAATCTCAGTAATGCTGTTCAGATCCTTGGAGTAGAGTAGAGAGCGGCGCGCTGAAGGATTCGGTAGTTTTTATTGATACCCGAGCTTGCACCAAACCAGAATTCGCCATGTCTAACGATGGAGCCGGGCTGACATACAACACGGGTGAAGCAGAACTTGTTTGTGAAACTGTGAAAAGGTTTTTGAATGTGAGTTCATGTTTTTTCCATTGACCCCAAAAGAGTGCGCGGCGAGGTTTTTTTCCGTGCATTTTTTCTCTAATGCACTTCAATAATGCTGCGCAAAAATTCACTGTAGGAAACGCGCAGAAGGAAAGTGCATTAGTGCAGTGAGTACGAAACAATTTAGAGTATTTTTTAACTTTTAACTCGAAAATGATAAGTTAATGATTTTCAGACATAAAAACTTCACTGTCGCACTAAAATCATACGAATTGATATTTAGAACGGCGTATCAGCGACTGACATCGGAGTTATGTGTGTCTACCGCAAGCAGGTTGATGTACTCAAATCCTTGCTGGATCCCTCTTTAAATATTGAGGTTCTCGTTTCCCCCACATACTTCGTCATCATTAAAATGCGATATCATCTGATATGGTATTTTCTAGATCAATTCTGTAGATCAGTACCAAGGACGCGATAAAAGTGTTATAATTTGGTCGCTTGTGTGGACTGATACTTCTGTGAGGGTGGGGTGAACAAGTTTTTGTTTTTTCTTTCAATGGGGAAGCTATTAAAGGATTTTTTTTAGCGATGTGACCTGCTGAGAGATCAACGCCGAATAAATGTAGCACTGACTCGAGCTAAGCATAAACTTATACTGATTGGATGTGCAGAGAGCATGCGGTCCATGAATATTATGAATCGGGTTCTGGATAGGGTGGCAATCGTTGAGCTGTGCCACTAACTGTTTTTTCCTGTTTACACAACAATGTTTTTTTTTACTTTGGTGTGATTCTTCTTGAACTACCTTTTGTGTTTCTGTGATTATGTTTTATGTTAATTCTAACTGCCTCATTTGAATCATACTTTATTCTCATATGACTGACGGGTTGTTTCATTATTTTTTTATTGAATACCTGATTCCGCTTATAAAATGTGCCAAGCCGCATATGAGTTCACAATTGGATGTTTTGTACAATTTCTAGGCTAATTGGGAGAATTTACAAGCTACCTGTTAACTTACTGAGAAAGCGCATGAAAACCATCTTTCCATCGCAGTGTTCCTTCACTTTCAATTGGCCTTCGTATAATTGACTCAAAGCATTCTGGAGATCACTTGCCTGCTGCGGAGTTCTAACACCATAACACTTTATAATACGAATCTCATGTCAATCAGCAAGATCTTGCTTCAACTTGGTGGAGCCAAAGCTCCATCCAAAGTGTGGAGAGGAGTTAACACATTAACGACAAGGTTGATTTTTCGATTACTGCTGTTTCGGACCAGAGCCTTTTTGGCTTTGTCAAACTTACGACCAACCCGTGGGTCGTAATGTCCGAAATGGTAGTCTTTTTGGAAGAAATTCAAAACATGTATCCGAGATTTTCCCCGCAAGGGTTATCGAAGGCGCTGATTACCAAAATATAATTTATTTCAGTTTTTAGCTGTATACGGTAAGCTTACGGTAGTCATTCTGTATAAAACCAACATTAGCGAAGCTGAACGATGTGGTAGCAGTGGCATGACAAAAGAGGTAGACATTTGCTGTGCAAACTTTCGGTAGAAACCGGAAACATGGACAAAATTCTTATGCGCTAGATACCAGCTACTGAAAGACGCTATTTTATAGGGAGACCAAGAGCAAAATGGGAAGATTGGAGACGAAAATAGTGCAAGAATGAATCATGGATTTTCTTCAGTTTAGGGCAAGCATAAGTTGTTTTAACCTGAATGATTGAGGACTAGAACCAAATTGTTACAGTGTTTTCGAACAATATGTGAAACGGTTAAGTATGAATGAAGACAATTCTTTACTAAAAATCTATTTTTTCTACGAAGCGCTGAAGTGGAGCCACAGCAGGTGTTTCCTCTCATGCAAAAATCTCCAAATTTTTTTCTAGGTTGATTCTTGTCTTTTTTTTCGAGATTGCTTCATCTGAAGACGAAAAGATCAACCGTAATAGTTCTTTTACGGACTTGTTTCGTTTTGTTGATTTGAATTTTGTTGTTTCCCGCGTCTGATGTCTGATGCGGGATTCGCTCGCCAAGGCGGTATATGGATATGTGTGTAATTCGTCATGTTTAATTCAACGACAGGTGACGCTTCCGGCGGACGTCTGTTTTCTCTTACCATACCTCTAGTGAGCTGTCGATTGCGAGTGGATAGAGGCCTAATCTCTTCGCTGCGTATCAATTTAGTCTGCGGAAGTTAGAGAAAAGAGCCTAGTCTTTTCCTTACATACTGAAATTACAAGCTCAAAATTTCACCATTGGAGGCAACATCACAAGATAGCGGAAGCACAAAAGAGCATCTGTTAACCTGTTTTCTTTAGGGCCAGGCATACTTCACGCGATTTCAGTCGCGACGCGATTTGGCAACATTCCAACTGTCCACAACTCACTGTAAGCACATTAAAAATGTACAGAAGTTAGGGCATTTTATCAATCCAAGTAAGTTGTACACACCATACATGTGCAGTTTGCTTGTGTTGGATTTGAAGAGTTCTGGCGAATTGCCAAATCGCGTCGCGAGTGAATTCGTGTGAAGTATGCCCGACCCTTAAGTCGACTTGAAGCTAGAAGAGGACAGTTTGAATATCTCGTCTTCGCTATTTGGTTTCAAAAAGGACATCTCAGAAGATTCATATCGTCATGAAAGTCTTTTTCAGTTTTTCAATAAATGTCTGAGCTAATTTTACTGTGGTACAGATGACTTGAAGTGTAATAGCCAATATGACCACAGATTTGGTGAAGATGGTCAAATGGAAGAGGTTCCGTACACTGGAGTTCTTTTTTGTGCATGGCATTCAACACTTGTCAAATAATGAGTTAGCGCATGTGCTTTACGAACAATTAAAATCTTTGGTGTTTGCAGTTGAGATATTTAAAAAAAAACTTTCAGATATTCGAAAACCACTTTTGATAGAGAGTAAAGGGTAGGATTTCTGCGAAAGCGGTGTTCAATTACAGCAAGTACCGATCCGTATAAGGCCTTAGACAGAGTTCACGCGATTTGATCGCCGCGATTTTCATTCATTTTCATTTTAATACATTCAAAAATTTCGGGCTGGAAAAATATTACAACTGATGCAAGCTGGCTTGCAATGAATTCGTAACAGTTGTCTTGTAGCGACTGAATCGCGACGATCAAATCGCGTGAGCTCTGTCCGGGGCCTAACATTCATTTGGACTCTTCACCACATAATTCTTCCAACATATACTTTAGAAGGATGGAAAATTTCAATACACGGCATTTGCTCTCATTTTAGAGAGAATTAGTGGTGAGGCATTTTCAAACAACATTTTAGAGGAAATCTTTGAATACGGTTACTGTAACTTAGGATAAGTTTTCATAATTTGAAGACTTAGAAGTACTAGCAAAATTCAGAAGCTTGTCTAGCTGGAAAAGCTAATGCAATTGGGCAGTTGGACGGTAAAAGTGCCACGATTCCTAAATTAGTGTTTCAAATGTTTTTCTTCCAGTCTGCAGAAACCGGACGTTTTGAAGGGCACGTGCATTTACTTCTTTCGTCAAATGCAACTCTAGACTGTGCCCATCCACTTCAATTATGGTTTTTACTCTACACCAAATGGTCAGCTTTTGGAGAGCCTCTTCTGAATTATGCAATTTCTTTGATCTCTCTAGACTCGCTCTTAAGAGGTGCTTAGCATGGCATTTAGCTCTTCATACAACATTGACTTCAAAGAAACCATCTTCTTTACTCGCTGGTCATGCACTTCTGACCAGTGAAGTTGCTTAAGCCTGACTCGAAAACCTGACAATGTCTAGAAAAAGTTTATTGCAACACTTCAAATCAGGTGTTCTTCGCCTAATGGAACCTGTATGGCCGGTGGGCACTGGCACGCCTAAATGCGTATTTCCTCGCTTAACAATGAGATTCCGGCGCTGAAATCTGATCACGACGAAGATCGGCTTGTGAGATACAGCAGTCAGTTGATCTCACGTCACCACACTATGCTTCGACAATTCGCTACCGCTGCCACTACTTTGCTGCTATGTCTATTACGTAAGTCATGCTACCTATACTCTACTACTATTGGCTGTAGGTTACTGTAATACTACTACCGTAACCATCACTGTTTAGCACCTTTCTGTGGTTCATTTCCAATGTGCACCGATGGTCAAACACCTTTGATGGAGGTAAATGACGCATTCCCGTGTTCTCGAGGATGTCCGAAAGGATTCTTCTGCGAGTATCAGGTAGCCGTTAAATGAGAGGAAGTATTAAATTTGGATTTAGAAAATATCCATAACGTTTTTTTGAATGCAAACTGTTACAATTCGTACGAGAAAAATTCAGAAAAACTTGATTTCTCGTCAAAATCACTAACAATAATGGAATGGTTGTCTTTAGGGCCAGGCATACTTCACGCGATTTCACTCGCGACGCGATTTGGCAATATTCCAACTGTCCATAACTCACTGTAGGCACATTTTATATGCACAGAAGATAGGGCATTTTGCCAATCTACTAAGCTTTACACATTATGCATGTGCAATTTGCTAGCGTTGGATCTAAACTTCTGGAGAATTGCCAAATCGCGTCACGACTGAAATCGCGTGAAGTATGTCCGGCCCTTTTCTGACTTCTACGGAGTTGCCATGTTTTTCATCTCTTTCATAACTGCTTGATCAAGAATTGCTTTGCGGGTAGAACAACTTCCGCTGTCCTTTTGGTTTATTGCGCAATAGAAGTCTACATGAGAAAAATAATAAAAATATTTATTCAGACAAGGTTTCAAGGATTACAGATGATAGCTTTAATAGAAAGAGGATTTTTTGTGAGAACTTTCTTCGTTTTTTCGTCAAGAGCGCAGAGTGTTATATTTGAAATTGTCTAGGTGTAGCAAAGATTCATTGAGTGCTCGCCATTTTCGCGAAACTTTGACTACTTTCGTTTTCGCGTAGGAAGTCTACAAGATTCAAAGAAAAAAATAAAGGCTACAACGCAGAAGAGATTGAAAATTCAAAAAAAAAATTTTTTTTTATCGCTAATCGAATCTCAAATACATCGCAAGCAATTCAACCATTGCGATAATTGTTGATACACAGTCTTACAGGGACTTTGCAAGAACACCGAGAAGTCTCATCTTTTGGAAAACAGTTGATTTTGTTACGAAGCGTAGGCGACAGACGCGTAGCGTAAACCTTGATACGTTCAGATCATTTCGAATTCGCATAACATTCCAAAGAGCAGAAAGGAATAATCTGCAAGCGGTATCGTACAGCTTAAGATTCGTAACTCGCAGCTGTACCTTTTTGGAGTAATTAAAGAAATTATAGCTATTTTAGAAGAGGTTTGTTGCAAAAATCAGAAAACGAGATTGATTAGAAATCCTAGAAAAGGCGCTTTCTCGAGTATGAATGGGAAGACTCACAAACATATGGGGAGACTTGATAACCAAAGTCTGTTTATCATTGTAATAAGTGCTTAAGAACCTATTTCACCTTTTGACAAGCACGTATTTAACCACTCATATCTCCTCAAAAGATCCAGAAAGTCTCATTTGGACAGATTCTTCATTAGGCGAGCAATCTGTAATTGTGTCGGCTATGAATTCCTTCAAAAGAAAAACTTTTCCAAGAAGTACTTTTCTTAAAGGGTGGTGGAAGAATGGGCGTTTTTACTAGTCTCATACCACGAGTGATTCAGCAGAACTGCGCTGAAATTCGAAAGATGGTGTAATTACAGTAGAGTCATCGCTGAAACGGCTATTGAACCTCGGTTTGCTGACATGTCGCGATCATTTGAGAAAAAATGTTTAAAAAATTCAACATGAACATTTGTCTTGCCTCGCTCGATATGAAGCTGTAAAATGCATACAGTGGACCTTTCTACGAAAAGGGTCTTCTAATTAGACTTTTGATAGAATATTCATAGCTTGTAGGAAGGTGATGGTTTCAGTAAAAGTGGAAAAGAATCATGAAAGAACTCAATAGTAATTGAGATCCTAAGTCACCACTCACAGGAACTCATTTATAAATTTCAGCCAGTCTTTCGAGGGGTTTGAATTTTGCGAAGTGCAACAATTTCTTGAGCTAGAAATCTCTTTCTAAGCATTACGTTGTTGCTTTTGCAGTTGGAAATTAGCCGACTTGTTTTGATGAACGTTCTAAAAGAATCAGTTTGGATTAGCTTCATCATTTCTTTTGCGTCTGTTCAGCTTTTCTTTTGGTAGCAACTAGCCTTCAGACATTGGGCAATTTTTGAACAATTACGTCTTTCCGGCAAACGTCTGCTATAAAAAGTTTAGTTTGTAGACTTTCTTCTTTGCTCTCTTTCTCACTGATTAGACAGCCTATTAAAAAAAAGAAGTGTAAGAAAACTACTTGACTTATTTTTGTCAGTATCGTATTTGCAAATAAGTTTGCAACTCTCTCTGCAATTTTTTGTTCGATTTAGTCCACACATTTCGGTATCTTGTAACGTTAATTGTAGACAAAGTGTTACTTAAGTTGTCTTGTAAGCTTGGGCCCCTCTCCCTAAATATTCAAATCGCGCGGGAAATATTGTTTTGTCAAACAATACAATACATTGTACAACTTGGGTTTATAACCACTAAGTTTTCTTTCTTCTATTCCATATTTATTTTCATTCACGCGAAGTACTCCGATACCTAACTAAGCATGTAGTATCATTAGCCAAAGAATGAGTGCACCACATTCGATAAGAAAATTATTTAAAACGTTGCAGAAACTTGGTTGCCAATCTGATAAAGTCGCCTGCACGAAATCGCCCGGGTTGCTGTAGGCTGAACGCACGCGAGCGTGCCTCCAACGCGGCTGCCGACTACGGGCGCTATGATGACTCATGCGCGCGAATGCCAACGTTAGGGACCCGTCATACTTCGCCGGAAAAAGCCCAAAGAAGCCCGAAAAAGCCCAAAAAAGCCCGAAAAAGCCCAAAAAAGCCCGAAAAAGCCCAAAAAAGCCCAAAAGCGCCAGAAAGAGCCGGAACACTTCTCGCACGTTTTGGCGTTAAGACAAGTGTGTTAATTTCGCAATCGAGTCTTTTTGTCATCTTCTGTCGTCTGCACCGCAAAATAATGTCGGAATTCTATCAAAAGTTCGTTTCTACGTTTCGGCTCTTTCTGGCGCTTTCCGGCCTTTTCGGGCTTTTTTGGGCTTTTTCGGGCTTTTTTGAGCTTTTTTGGGCGCTTTTGGGCTTTTTCTGGCGAAGTATGACGGGTCCCTTAGCCCGCAAGAGACACGCGCGCGGGTGCTCATTCTGGGCGAATACGTGCAGTCAACTATACCTCCATGATCGTAAGACTAAGAAAAGTCCAACCAAAATGCATTAATCACCTTTAACAAGACACGCCTTTTTTCCAGGACTCTCGCCAAAATCCAGTGCTGGGCATTTGTTGCGCTAACCGTACTGAACTACAACTGCTTTACGGCTCAAACGACAAACAAGTTGATCCGATCTGGAAAGGCGAGAATTCTGCAGAACACAAATCGCCTGCTCAGGCTGTGGAAGCTTTTTCATTGACGCAAGCACCAGGAACCCTATTCGTACATACAAGAACAATTGACGACAACGAGTCCAATGAGGCTCTAGCCCGAAATCAGCATAGAGTGAAAAAGAGCGATAACTCAATCCATATTACAGTGACTGACAACGTGCCAGCTGCCGATGATCCTTTGGCAGATGAGGTGATTGTGGACTCTGACAAGAGCTTGGGACCCTCAATTGAATCTAGACTGATTGAGGAGTTTTTCCCGAGGGACGATGATGGATTGTATGCGGAGGTTTTAGCTTTCAATGCTAGCGAGATCTTTTTGAATGGGGAGGATGACAACTCTACATCGTCAGAAATTGCAAAATTTTTGAATGGGGAGGATTCGAACTCTACATCGCCAGAACTTGCAAAGGCAAACAGCACATCAGTTGTTACTATCAAAGCTCTATCTGCAGGAAAGAAACAACATGCCAAGAAATCGAATCTCAAGAATTCTGAAGAGGAAGTAGTCGTACTCAGCTCTGAAGCGAAAGACTCAAAAGAAGAGAACAGAAACTGGGAAAAAGACGATTCAGAGGAAAAACTGACAGCTCCCAAAGGGGTATTCCAAGTTTTGTCAAAGAAAGACGACTTGTCCAAGGATATCACAAGCTCAGAGCTTGCTAATTCTGCAGATAAGAGCAGTGATCAAGGAACTATCAACGTCAACATCAAGAATGTCGACGAAAAGGAAGAGCAACCTGCACCGGGCGGTGATCATCCAAAAGACGAAAAAGAAAGTGAAGAAGGTGAAGATAAACGACAATATTCAAAGGGCGAAAAAGGAAGTGAAGAAGGCGAAGATAAACGACAATATTCGTGTGAACGACAAAACTATGAGTGAGTAAATTAACGTAAATTGATTGATTATTAATTAGCTCACCGATGCACCGAAGCGCTAATCAAATACATTATTGTTATACATGGGCGCGTAGAATTCTTCCTTTTTCAAATGATTGTAGGGAACTGCTCAAATTCATTTATTTGCATTTAAATAAGAAGTGGAGGCGAATTTTTGGAACATTCTGTAAAAGCATCTGCTTTTAGCTTCATTCAAAACTGAAAATTTAACTCCCAAAGCTTGTTACAATGACATTAGATTTTGTGAGGACTTTCTTTAGATGGTTCATTCTTTTCATACATATGCCCTTTGATTCGATTGGCTTCGCGCCTGGAAGGCGCGTTCGTGACCTAATTAAGGCTAGGTAATGATCAGGGAGCACGTGCGCAGGAGAGACGCAGACTGCGTAGCGGACGCAAGAGGCCTTAATTAGGTCACAAGGCACTGCCTTCCAGACGCCAAGCCAGTTGAGTCAAAGGCTATAGACATGGATTTGCTTTTAAAGACAGCTAAACTCCTTCCTTGACACCTTGTCGAGAGGAGAAATGATTCAATAAACTCCGTCGCAAAACTTTACCGAGCTATAATTCTCGATGGCTTAAAACTGAATTCTTTTGACATTAAGGCTCACTTGCAACGGGACTGAAACGACCACCCAGCCGAAAATCCGCTGGTTTTTGAATGACAACGGTGAATGCGAGCACTACCCATGGGGTTACTGTCCAGGTATAAATATAACCACAAATGTTCGAATATATTCATTTTCGAATACTATTCAGGCGATCGTGTAGTGAACTCTACCACAATTCGAACCAAGGAAGAATGTCTTCGTGAATGTCTTGGTTACACAGCAGAACAGATTGAAAATGTTAAGGATGCCAAGCTAAAGGGTAAATCTTCTTACCTTAAATCTTGAAAATTGCTCTTTTCTAGCCCTCGTTGATGATAAGTTCAGATGATATACCGAATCCTACGGAAATCCCGTTTCAAGAGGAACCTCTCGAACAGTTACACGATCTTGGCGATAAAGTCGTAAGCGAAAAATCGCCTGTAACAAATCCGCCTGTGACCGCAGAAACGCCAACATGCGAAACTTCCACTGTGGAACAAAGAGACGAAGAAAACAGCGGCATCCACGGTAAGGAGGAGAATGGACGCATTGATGAGAAAAATTCGACGACTGGAAGTCTGGGTAATGCAACACTCGATCAGAACGATAAAGCAGGAGGCAAGCTAGAATATGAGGGTAGAGGACTATATTTCGCCGAAAAAGGGCGGTCCCCGCGGTCATTTGCGACAAATACGCACCCTTGTACATGCACGGACATGCGTTCCTGCAGGAAATCCGCGCGGGACTCTTCCACATTCGGCGACATATAGTCCTCCACCCAGAAACAGTTCTGAAAACAGTTCAGTAAAGAGTCAAAAAAAAAACTGCACTTCAGATAATCAATCGAATCTTCTTGAGGAGGAAAATAACGACGAAACTACTACAGAAAACTCATCCTTATCCAAAGGCGAGTTTCGATGAATTACGGAAGAAATCGTTCTCCAAAACAAATAATCATACTTCTTTATTTTAGAACTAGCTCTTTGCACTGCTACCTCCTACAGATATGTTTGCAAGAGCGGTCTTCGAACACAATTCGTCTACAGATGGAGTAAGGTAGACGGAAAATGCTTATCGTTCCCTTATGGCTACTGCGTAGTAAGTTAATCTCTGCTTTTGTTAGACGCATTATAATAGGGCAGACCCTGAGCAACTTCTCTTTCAGTACGAGTTCAATCATCCTCATCCGCGTACACGTGAAGAGTGCGAGAAATACTGCTAGCACACACTTCTCTACTAAATATTTATTATTTATTATTTATTTATTTTGCATAGTTATTATTTATTTTTTTATGTTGGTATAGCTCCAGTGTATGAGCATAGTTGTGTGATTTGTGATTTGTTGAAGCTTGGTGTGCAGTACATAAATTAATCTCTGTTGTGTGCTGCTAATTTTGATTTCATTTCATTTCATTTCATTTGCACGCTCAAGGCGTTCCATAAAAAAGACACATCAAGAAGTTAATAATACAGCGGAAACGAATAAGAAATGTAAACGAATGATCATGTCAGTCCGAGTCTGATCCTAATCAGACTAATGTGAGAAGATGAAACAGCTTGCACTGAATATGTTGATAGGCTAATAGATAAGTATGCAGATGTAGGCATTGAGATTTATAACTCCAAAACTTTGAATCCAGGAAATGGGATGCATGCCCCCACGTTGCCAGAGGAACGATCTTTATTTACTCTTAAAAGCAATCCGGCAGCTTATTAGGCAGGTCTACTGGCCCAGGTATAATAACCATAACCCAACTTAGCCGGAATGCTGGGGAGACCCAATGGCCCCAAAGGTGAAACAATTCACATTCAATCCATTTGTTGAAATAGCAAGCTGTACGATTGAATACCAGATAGCTGAGCGATAAAGTCTCGGACCAAGATGCTTATGAAACTGTGTTAGTAACTAGAACAAAACGAGTACACCGAAAATACAAGTATGACGCAACGTGAGGAGATACACGAGAGGCGCCAAAGAAATAATTTACAGCCGTAACTGAGTAGCCATGACTGAACCCGCAAGTCAATGCAAGATCAACACGAGCACTTGAAAAGACAGGGTAGAGGTAAAATGGAGAAGAAAGTTGGTAGAAAACAAAGCCGAAAGCGATTTGCGCATTAGTTTTCAACACTTTTAGTACAATTCAATTAAGTAATTACCAAACTAAGGCCGTGCATTTGGGTCTAGGAAGTGAGATAAAATACTGAACTGCAAGGACGTGTTTCTAATTTTTGCCATCCTGAGCATATAGGTTTTTGTTGGGAGAAGAGGAAGTGATGAACAAAGTCTGTTATAATACGTTCATATTGAAGCGTCATATGGTAGACTTACATAACAGCTCAGACAAATGATCGGAACTTCAGCAGAGCGCTTGCAGTAGTCCCGACGGTCACCTGCGGAAGTTCCGAAGCGAGGTCCTGCGGAAGTTCCGGTGATTTGTCTAAGAGAGGTAAAACGCAACTTTTCTTAGGAACTAAAAATTGGAATCTTACATGATGGTTGTGGATATTTGTAGGAAAAAGCCGAGCTCCAAAGCGCCAAACTATCGACGCAATTCGTAATTTCTTCAATGAATTCAACCAAAATGATAGGAAGTATACACGACTTGCGATTTTAGGTGGCCGACCATCATATAAATACCAGCCTGTGATTTCTTTTTCGACACCCTTTTGACGGGAGAAAGTGTTTAACCTCGGCAATTGTTGGAGGGATTTCTTTCAATAGTCTTCAAGGATCTGTTTCAAACTTGGCCATTGAGAAGAGTTTGTCTGGTAATCTCAGTCAAATAAATCCAAGCCTTTAGACGCATTAGCCTTCCTCGCAAGGGAAAGACTTAAGGAGAGCGACCATTTGTAATATATACATACCTCAAGATGTTCTCTAAAACTCTCATTTCGGATCAGCCCTCCCCAACTGCGCAAACGTCTTCTAAAAAGAGAATTTATATATTAGGTTGGCGGATAATTTCTGTTACACTTATTTTTATTTTTTTAAATCTAAGACTTTCGAAAATTCTTATGTTTGAGAAGTTTGGCGGGGTGCAAAGGTCTACCCGCCGGTACTGTCAGATCCGCGGTCCATGCGCAACACCCACTTTATCGGTAGGAGTACACTTTATTTTTGTCAGCGGGTTGGCATTCTTCTAGGTGATTGGAAAGAGACCGGGCGATGTGGTATTCGGGCAGGGTATGATTCATAATTTTTAGCGAACATAGGGGATGGCACAAGCATGAGCTACATTTTGCACCATGTCTGCGCACACTGGCATTTTGACATGAAGAAAATCTTTAAAAAATTACAAAAATTATTTCCAACCTTTACGTACCAAATCCTACACGATGCACACAAAAAAAATTTTCGACGAATTTTTGATTTTTGAGTTGTTTTTCATCCCTTGTTTTTGGCGTGCTAGTGGCACCAAAGTGCTACCATAAAAGAGAGAATGCGAAAATATGTTTTCTAAAAAAAATTATGAGAGGGAAAAAACACTATGAGACGCAGAGAAAAAAATCAAAGAAAAAATAGAATTTTGAATGTTCTTATAAAGTTGTCGTAAAGTCGCTGGCTAATCGTGCATTTGCGGCATCAATCGTACTCTTGTGTACGTCCTGCAGTGGCCTACATATGGAGCAACTCTGAAGATTTTGAAAAGCTTCTGAAACTTTCCAGAATTTTACGAAAAAAGTGTAACAGAAATTATCCGCCAACCTAATATTTCGGTTGCTTGTCGCCAGTGTTGATCTAGTTTACGGTCTGGAGTTACCGAAAAGAGTCTTATTTAGGACCAGTGCGTCGTCCCTGCTTCGCAGAGGCTCGCACTGGCTCTACTATCCAAATGCCTTCCTCGTAGTCGCAAAATGATGGCTTTGAAACTTACCTCGCAATGCCGATCATCACGAATGAAATGTAAACAACTACCCATTCCAAAAGTTTTTTTATGTAAGATTAGTGATTTTGAGGGAAAGGAAGTATTCTCCAAAAGATTAAATGCGAATTCAAATCAGTTACTGGGGTTAAAATGGCTTGTTAGCAGCCATAAAGATGATGACAACCGTGAGTTACATCTCTGAGCAAAAATTTTCTCACATTCCCTGGTAAAACCTTGACAAACCAATCATCTACGCAATTATTCCTTTTTGGCGCCGATCTTGCATGAAAGTAAACTTTCTGCTCATTTTTCGGGCTGGAGTACATGGTTCGCGGATTTACTTGCTAAACGAAACCATGACTTTGAACTACCCCTAAAATCCCGCCAATAAGTCCCGTCATATCTGCATTTTTTGACACGAAAAATTGCTAGAAAATCGCCCTCTGCGCTGCCAGAAGTCTAGCAGATCTGCTGCGGTCTGATGGGAGGATTCATCTGCTAGACTTCTGGCAGCGCAGAGGGCGATTTTTTTTCAATTTTCCGTGTCAAAAAATGCAGATAAGGCCGGACTTACTGGCGCGATTTTAGGATAAGTACATTTACACGCCCACTTTGGCGCGCGAAATGTTGCGTGGATCCGTTTGCGCACAAGTTCGCACGTTCCAGTAATCGGATCGGCTTGTGCTTTTGCATATTTCACTTACATGCTGATCGGGTGCTACTACCAAAATTCTAGCTCAAGGGCTTTGCTGGAACTCGCTCTACGAATTTCGTGACACACAGAGATTCACACACACACACACACACACACACACACACACACACACACACACACACACACACACACACACACACACACACACACACACACACACACACACACACACACACACACACACACACACACACACACACACACACACACACACACACACACACACACACACACACACACACACACACACACACACACACACACACACACACACACACACACACACACACACACACACACACACACACACACACACACACACACACACACACACACACACACACACACACACACACACACACACACACACACACACACACACACACACACACACACACACACACACACACACACACACACACACACACACACACACACACACACACACACACACACACACACACACACACACACACACACACACACACACACACACACACACACACACACACACACACACACACACACACACACACACACACACACACACACACACACACACAAACACACACAAACACACACAAACACACACACACAAACACACACACACAAACACACACACACACAAACACACACAAACACAAACACAAACACACACACACAAACACACACAAACACACACAAACACACACACACAAACACACACAAACACACACAAACACAAACACACACACACAAACACACACACACAAACACACACACAAACACACACACACACAAACACACAAACACACACAAACACACACACAAACACACAAACACACACACAAACACACACACACACAAACACACACACAAACACAAACACACACACAAACACACACACACACAAACACACACAAACACAAAAACACACACAAACACACACACACACAAACACACACAAACACACACACAAACACACACACACAAACACACACACACAAACACACACACACACAAACACACACAAACACAAACACAAACACACACACAAACACACACAAACACACACACACACAAACACACACACACAAACACACACACACACAAACACACACAAACACACACAAACACAAACACACACACACAAACACACACACACAAACACACACACAAACACACACACACACAAACACACAAACACACACAAACACACACACAAACACACAAACACACACACAAACACACACACACAAACACACACACAAACACAAACACACACACAAACACACACACACACAAACACACACAAACACAAAAACACACACAAACACACACACACAAACACACACACACAAACACACACAAACACACACACAAACACACACACACACACAAACACACACACACAAACACACACACACACAAACACACACACAAACACACACACACAAACACACAAACACACACAAACACACACACAAACACACAAACACACACAAACACACACACACACAAACACACACACACAAACACACAAACACACACAAACACACACACACAAACACACAAACACACACAAACACACACACACACAAACACACACACAAACACAAACACACACACAAACACAAACACACACACACAAACACAAACGTAAACAACCCTTAGCTCGTTATCATAAGTTATGATACTAAAATACTAAATTCAAATTTTTTGAGCAACTTGAAAAGGCAAGAAGATCTTGCATTGATAATTGATCTTCCGCTGTAATGCAAATTATATTTGACGGTTTGATAGTAAGAGGGTGAGGCTATATCAGTTTTAGTGCGTGAGCTGTGCACAAGGATCTTCACGGTAAATCAAAATTTTTCAAATTTTTTTCTATACAAACCACTCTAGAATTAGTAGATAGAATGAAAGCTCAAACAGTGGATAAACATTTTTTTTTGTAAGACCTGAAAGAGAAAATGGGGAGTTTTCAACAGATTACTACACGAAAGGAGTGGAAAACACTCGTTTTCTCTCTTTCAATCCCTCGCAAGTTTTCAGTTGACCCCTCAAGCCTTCCGAAAGATGTGCCCACAAACTTGACTTCTCATCATTTTCTGTGGTTTTGCATGAATTCAGGAAATCTTTGAAACTACCACTCAGGAAAAGAAATTCTCAGCTCTCGCTTGCAAAATCCTTTTTGCAAATTTAGAATTTGCACAAAGGCAATGTTCTAAGATTTCAAAAAAGGTTGTGTAGAATTTTTATGCATGATAAAACATTCGAGTCCTCTTTCTACAGTCCCACCTCAATTTTAGAGAAGTTTCATCAACGAAAATTAATTTAGGAATCCTTGCCGCAACGTCATTTGACGTGTTAAAGAGCCTAGTTCCCGCAATCTACGAAAATTAAAAAAGGAACATCCACTAAACTGCGAATAATGAGAACACTTTCTCCAGTCACATTTCTGACTTTTTAAAATGTGACTACGCGTTCCTTAACCTAGGCAAAATTTAGGTGATGAATCAAAAAGTAATCGTCTACAGTACGAAGTAATTACCCCACAAGCCGCTTTCAAACCAATAATCTCAAAAACGAAGTGCCTTAAGCGCTGCCTGCTGAACTATCTAGGTGAAAAACTTTTGCGACATATAAAGTTGTTGTTTTGTCAAGCCATGATTGAAATCTGCCAGCCGCCTGACCAATTTTTTCGAGAGAAATGTCCTACGGCTACTCACAAACTGACATTTATAAAGAACTGCCCTCGACACACTCATTCCAGATTTCTAGTGTGGGGAAAAAGACGAAAGTGTAACCATTATAGCACATTTGTAATAACAATTAATAATAAAAATAACAAAAACAAAACAAACAACAACAAAAACCAATAACAAAATAACAAAAATAAATAATCACAAATAATAATAAAAATAACAAAAACAAAACAAAATAAACAACAACAAAAACAAATAACAAAATAACAAAAATAAATAATCACAAATAATATTAATAACATACTTGTACTAGGTTGTTTCAAAAGTTCTGTCCGATTTGCGATTTTTTCATTTGAGATCTTATAACTTCTTTCGAAATCAACAATTTAGAACAAATTAAATTTTATGGAATCAAACGAGTTCATGGCTATCACAAGCACTGTATGTAGGGAAGGCTAGCGAGAGAAAAGAGAATTTTTTTCGAATTCTGCAGGGTTTTCTTCAAAACCGCAGAGTTTGACTTACTAATGCTTCCATGTGAAGATGAGCAGACATATGCTGCCATCATTAAGTAGCCCGTACTTCAAAGGTTCTTTTACGGCTAAAGAGAATTCGAGTTATCTTCAGGGTCAAGCGTGGGGTGTGGCACGCCACGCTTGGGAGTCGTAGTGAGAAGTCAAAAGGGGAGGGAATCGTAGTTGGGTTGATAAAAGTGATAACATGATATTCGTATCATATCCATAATTAGCATGTCAATTAACCCCTGTAGACAAAGTTTGAGCGAATTCTGAAGATTCGATACTAGGCTACCTAAGTGAAATGGTCATATTCCAACATGGTTAACTTTGTTTCAAAGGTGAATTAGCTATCCGTTTTTGCACTCAAGACAAAGCACTACTCCTTCTTTGTCCATCTCAGAAATCCCGCTTCAAAAGACCTCCAAACTGTGGAACTAGAAGCTAACCAAAATCTCATTTTTCCCATTTGCGCTTTTAATAGCTGTGCTTTCACCGAATATTACTCAGAGCTAAGAAGACGAATCAGGTTTCAAACACTCCTATGGAATCTACGGGGTTTAGGCTATCGATTCATATAAATACTGTTCGCTAAAAATGTTTTTTTTTGATATAGTTAACGGGGTGTGGCAGAACCCCTAAAAAGCTCTGGCTGCCACAGCTTTTAAGGGGGTGTGCCACACCGCGCTAGCTCACATCTTACCTCCCTCAATCGCTCTCCATATGTCAACATGGAAGGGCAAATCCACATAATTTTTGACCATAACTCCATCCAAAGATTGCAGATGGGAGCCTTTTTATGCAAACCAACATTCAGAGAGGTATTTCACCAATGTGCGCCTCAACATGAATCCACGAACACCAGGTATCCTTCCCTTGTCAGAGGACGACATGAACCAAAGTGTCATCATCAAACATCGTTTCCAATCAGCTAGTTCTAGCTGCAGCCATCCCTTATCTTAACCAGAAATTGTAAGAAGCAGATAACCGTTACTGACCGCGCATGACGATTGAGTCATACTTTGAAGGAGTATTTTGCTGTCCTGTGGGCATTGCATGTACCCCAATTTCACAAGTACATGACGCACATGTTTTTTGACGACAGTTGACTTTCGCCTTTATGACTCCTAAACACACTCATAAAATACAACCAATCAGTCTAGAGAAAGAACAAGAACAAGTTAGGCAGATGTTTGGTGATGTAACCTTCGCTCATTTTTCCAAGCGCTTGTGTAGGCAGGAGAGCGCGAGTAAGAGTATCAATTTATCTCGTTCTTCCTCCGTTGCTTTTATGAGAATGTCACCACAAATGTGGCAATAATTTGAAGACCATCATAGATCACCACAGTGAGTTAATGTAAAAAGTAGTAAAGCAGTTGTAGATTTGTTGGAGTTACTTTTGAAGATCCGATAGCTTACCAAGAGATCATTCAGGTTATTCATGCTTGAATAAAGAGGGTAAACTTCGTCTTTTTGCAACGGTAGGTGTAGTGATGGCATCAACGTTGGTTTGATAGACAGGGAAACTGACACGTGTACGACAAGTTAGCTCCTCTGCCTTTGAAGGCAGCGTTCACCCAAAATCCACTCCACCCAGATTAGCAATTAGTCGTCAAGCGGGTCCCATGGCTATCCAGTCTGCGTTGGTCCGATCCTTTGATGTGGCTTCTAGAAGGAGTTACGGAGCCTATGATACGTATCACAAACCGTTAACAAACCGCCCCTGGTGTCAAAAACCTCCCCATAAGGACGAGTGCTCACGTCTGATCGATAAGGGTTGGACCAGACTGCGCCGCGTAAGCGGCTACGCCCTATATCTTTATGCACGTGTGGTTACGCTGTTTACGTCGCCTATGCCGCGTTCGCCGCGAAGTCTGACTTTACCATAATGGGTGTAACTGCACCTATGCATTGCAGTTCCTTTCGCTGAGAAACCGAGTGGGATGAAGCCAAAGTCGTCCGCACCAAGCAAGGTCTCACTGGACGATTTGATTATAACCGTAATCAGGAAGAGGCCGAAGAATGACAAAAACATTAGAGGCGGAATTTTGGGTGAACGCTGCCTTCAAGAGGCTTGATTCAGCGGATTTTGACGCAGGCAATGATGCGAGAATAAAATCCGTTCTTTCAGGGCTTATCAGTTCTTGTGCTGCCAGCTTTTTGCATATTTGCAACATCATTTAGCAGTTCAAAACATGAAACGGCCGCTCAAATTGCACCTCTAAGTTCTTGAATCAGGTGAATAACGTTGGCTGTTCTATGCATTTTTGATGTTGGACGTTTACAAAGAGTAACGGTTATCCTCACTGATACATCCAACCATCACATTGCCGTATCAAAGGCTGTAGGAGTCTAGTGTTGTTATCATTATCAAATGAGGTTGCGGAATTTATAAGACAAACTGTCAAAAATGACGTTCATTCTACTCATAGCGTGTCGTACTAACCGGTCAACATGCCGTTTAAACAAGTGAGTCGCGCTTTTCGTGCGCGGAACAAACTTCAGCTGCGAGATCAAGGGCAAACCGACGAAATGTTAGGGGTGAGCCAGACTGCGCTGCGTACGCGGCATACGCGACGTGCGCAGCATACGCACCCTATCTTTATTCAAGTGAGCGTACGCTGAGAACTCTGTACGCCGCTACGCCGAGCAATCTGACTGAACACTTAGGAAGATTTGAATTTGCGCACGAATTCGGATGTTGCTGTAAAATTTGTTTTGAAAAAGGCAAAACAATATACGCCGCGTTAATGAGAAAAGCATGCTTCTCACTGTTTGTCGATGTTGATGACCAGAAACGGTGTCAAACCAAATAAGCCTATATTAGTGCGGTATCGACAAATTCGTGAGTTGCCAAAGATCTGCGTAGCCACGTAGAACTACAGATGTAAACTATCTGCTTTCTTATCGGTTGTAAATACACACTCCTTTTTGTCGCGTTTTTTGCTGCTGCTTTTTATCCACTTCAATTTTCACAACTTAGGCTCGCACCCGCTTCCGCTTGCTTCCGGCGCGGTATGAAAGCACTCTCAACCCGCAATAACAGCCGCAAACGATCATCCACTCATTTACCCACTTCCTTATTTTATACTAGCTGGCATGCCCGACTTCACCGCACCGTGGGTCTAACTGGCTCAATAAGGAGCAAAACTGGTGCGCTACTTCGAATGCACAACTTACCCCTGACTCGTCTTTCTTCTTTACTCATGTAATAGTAGACACTGGTGATCGCAGGGCTTTGTATCACCGCATCCCCGCCATGATGAGATGAAAATGAGTTTTACCGCTATTGTTTGCGCGAAAATTGGTTGTGGTTTGGTAGTAACTGACAGGACTTCATTTTTCTTAAAAATCGATAAATCAATGGAAGGAGTGGGACTTTCGCCGCGAAAAGTAGCCTTTGGAGAGGGCCAGTGTCGAAAACATATGTGTGCACAGTTTGACGTTCGGTCCAAACACAAAAGTTTCTATAATGAACACAATAGCACAATTTACCAACACTCTGCATATGTATAGATGTAGCTTGATTCCTCCAGTATCCTCTTTTCTCCTGTATGTGCTCCTTTCATTCCAAATTCGTATCTTTTTCTATTTGATATCCTTGAAGATATTTAAGTGCCGTACTAATGCCCGCACTCTTTGTGCTTGTCCTTATCTGATAATCTCCTATCATTCGTTAATAAACTTTTGATATAAACTTTTACCACCGAAGGACACCCTTAAAAAAAGATTCAAAATCATTACCGATTGAAAGTCATTTTCTAATAACTAATAGGGGTCAGTCATTATTATGATACACAACGAAACAGCGTTCATTTTTGAGTTTTTTCCACGGTTGAATATTTTTCACAAAAAGAATGCGGGTGAAAAGAGAGGGAATAAAAGGAGCGAAATGAGAACCTTTTCAACCATTCGATAATTTGCATTTGAATCCGCATGATACTACAAGCAGATGGCTACTGTGCATGCGGCACAACTCAGGCAGTTCCGACATACTTCGATAACTGCGCTGGCAACTGGTATTAGTCAGAGCGCAGACTGAGGCATCAAAACATTCTTTTCGCAAACTTCGCTTGAGCACAGGTATCAAAAACATTCAATATTAGAACATAACATTTATCCTAAGTTTCCTAAGACATTCACATTCATCCTGAATATGTTTCAATCTTGCCGGCAATTTAAGCTACCGTATTGATGTCTACGCCCCTCAACAATGCGTGATGCGTGCATGCACATTTGGTTTTCTTCTCCAATCTATTTTGCTCATTTGCTAAACGGCATATTGCTACCTCCAGAAAAGCAGCTCTGAAAGGTTTGTAGATTTAGGCAAAGGGACAGAAGAATAGGAAAAATTCGAAAAGAAAAACACCAACACAAAGAACACCTAAGGGGAAGGAGCAGGCAAAACCGAAACAGGATAAAGCAGGGAGAGAGGAAAGGAGAAGGAAGAAGAAAGTATCAGCCATTCAAGAAATGTCTACTGATGTGTGTACCACTCGGTATTTAGAAGGTGTTAGTAGAAAAATACTTCAGTACTTTAGTCCTGTGTGACGGAAGAAGAAGATTTGTCGTCAGACTCGGATGAATGTGAATCAAATGTAACCAAACCTGCTCCAGCTCCAAAACCAATTCCACAAGCACTGCGAGTTCCCGATAAAAAAGTTTGTTCTTCAAATCATGTAGAGAATTAGTAAATTTCATAAACAGTGCCGTTGTAGTTCCTTCCGGGTGCCTTGATGAACGCGGGAGCTGCTCCCTCTTGGTTTACAAAACGTATACTTGAAGAAGAACGCCCTGATCTAGCTGGACGAAAGGGAAAGTTTGAGATGGAGGTACTCGACACATGTTTATTGCAGATCGACCTAACAAGGGAATGGTCAGAAGTCGAAGTGGCCAATCCAAGCAAACTGCATACCATTCAACGCAACTTAGAAAGCTGATTTTAAATCTGTCTCCCATATCTGCAGTGCGCTTTGTAAGCGAAGTTATGACCAACTTTAGTGCGAAACAATCGTACACAGAAATTGGAGATTAGCACATTATTGCCCTTTTCGCTCACCTTTAGGTACTGGCCATATGAAGTGACCTAGCTGCATCTTTTGGTCTAGCTGTGCGGCCAAGTTTGCCCTTTACACACAATTTATTAGCAAAATGATAACTTTTAACGGCTTATAATTCCATCCACAAAAGTGGTCTGCAGATAAGGAAGGCAAATTTGGAGTCAGCGTTTCATGCTGCATCTAATGGTATGCAACTTGCTTGAACTGACTACTTCAATTTCTGACCATTTCCTTTTGAACATCCGCATCCGCAAAGATGGAAGCACTTTGTACGGTAAACACAGTTTCCCTTCCCAACAACTAGGCTTTCACTTCCGTCAAACGTTTTGAAAGCATTCAAAAAAAATTCCAAAAGTTTCCAGGTCATCGTTTTTGACTGTTTGATAATTTCCGGACTGTTCATTCCAAGCTTTTCTGTTTTGTTAACTGTCAGTTAGAGCAAAGCTTCCGCAATGCAACATTTTCTCGAATCTCTCTAAGTAAACCTATAAGATTTTTCGAAAATTAGAGTTGTAAAATTTTTCAAAATTAGCTTTAGAACTCGAAATTTCGACCATTATCATGATACATACTTCCGTCAAATGCTTAAAAAACACCAAAATTTGGAGCTCCTATTACCCTAAAATCCGTCATATAAGATCGGCTCGCAGTAAAGACCGCCTCGCCGATAAGACCGCAAAAGTGCTCTCAGTTAAGTCCGCTTTCATGACAGCCTCGCGCGCCTCGCGCGCCGCCAAGTCCCGCGGATAAGTCCGCCTTATTTTTTCACATAAAAACAAGAAGGATGCGCAATTGCGCTGCCATTTTTGGTCTCAGAATGAACCGAAGCAACAAATCTTTATTCAGTTTCCATTCCATGTTTATCATCATCAAAACGTGGCTGACCGATGGTGGTTCTTCTTCTAATGACTAAGTTCCTTTTCATCATAAACCGTTTGCCACGATTCCGTTGCCTTGAAGTACTGCCGGCCAGATTCCTGCGCTAGCTGCAATGCCTTCGCTCGAATGTCCTCGACAAGCACTGCTCTGCTTGCTTCCCGCCTCTGCACAATCCATGCATAGACAGCTTTCTCGATCTCCTCTACCTTTTGCTTCCCATAACGGTTGGCGCGTTTCCTCAGTGGCATATCCTCCAAATTCTCCTTATCGGCCTTCCATCTTCGAATCAGACGAGCAGAGACTTCGTAGTGAACAGCGGCAGCCGATGTTCCATGTTCCAAGGCATATTGCACCACGTTAAGCTTAAAAAGCGCGGTGTAGGACTTCCTTCTGATAGCCATTGAGATGCGAGACACCTGAAAAGCCTAAGTCAAAGCATGTGAGACTATGCTGGAAATATAGGGCCCCGCGTGATTGTGAACTTCGCTGAGTTACCGGTCATTGCACACTGGAATCACGCGGAGTCCTATAAATTTGCGCTGGTCATCGAAAGGTTTACTCTTTTATACAAGGAAAAGCAGGCGGCATCAAATTTGACTACACTATCTTTTGTCTTGGATGTACAGGCTTAATGAAACAACAATTGAGGAAAATAACAAGGAAGCCTAATGCTTGCCAGACTGTCACTCTTCCGTTCAAGAAAGCATTTGACAAAAGCCGTATGGCATGGGTCAACAGAGACTACATTCAGAACATGAAAACAATAGAGGAAGCAAAAGTGTAGGAGTCAGGTTCAAGGGTTGTAGCCTGTACGGGTTCGAGAGATGTAGTGAAAACATTGTCGCCTCCAAAACGATAAGATGAATGATAAGTTGAGATGATTGCAATGATGCAATGATGAAACCTATTATGATTCTTTTCATCGGCAGAAATCGCTCAATTTCGTACAGGTGTCATATATAGGAAAAGAACTCACCTATCCAGCGTACGCGATGAAGAATCCGAGACGACCACCAAGTAGACTGTACGACTTGTCGAATCCTTGAGCTCTTTCTTTCAGGCGATATCGCGGCCTCGTTTAAATCTACACTGGCAAGCCACGCGAGCGGTCGCGCGCGTCTGTGCTCCTAGGTCGCGCTTGCTCATGCTCAGGACAGACGGACGTATCTGCGAGACGATTTAGGCGGACTTATCTGTGACACCCTTTGCGGCGTTTTTCCATCGATTTTCCTGCCAAAACTGCAGATAAGTCCGCTCTTATATGACGGATTTTAGGGTACTCGATTTTCACTAGCACTAAAAAGCAATTATCATTTAAAGTATCAAGATTTTCATATTTTCTGCATCCGTAACACTTGTGAATTAAGCCTGCATATATCAAAAAATATGGCAATCATAAAGGAAGGAAAGAGCTGCAACAATTATTACCTGAACTTTGCAATTTTCGTTGGAATACTGACTTAAATACTTAAATGGCCCGTTTTCACGTGACGTGCGGGCCCCAAGAAGTTTGCAGTGATTCCTGTCCCTCGCTTCAGGCATCCACAATTCTTAGTTGTCCTCGGTGGCTTCGTCCACGAGTTCCAGGAGTGGAAGTCGTATCCAGCTCTGATTTCTCAGCTGTTCCATCCGTTCTACGAACACGTCTGCCCATCTCGTCGGTGGTCTTCCTCGAAGACGTTTGGCTTCGCGAGGAATCCACTCAAATGTTCTTGATGTCCATCTGTCGTCTGTTCTCATTATGTGACCGGCCCATTGGTGTTTGGTTTTCGCAACGTATTCGCAACGTACTTTCGCAACGCTGGGTCATAAAAACGAGACATTCTTCTCAAATCCGTAGTGCAAAGGCTGACAAGATGTTCTTTGTGTGGGTCATTTTCAGATAACTGCGCTTAAACGCTTTGTGGGTGATTCGTAGAGCTTTCGACGTAGCTCAGTGGGGCTTTCTGCCTAAGACTCAGCTGAACTGAGCGCCGGGAGAACGGTTAGTCGAACAAGTGGGCACGGAGTTCCAGGTCCGTCAGACGGTGGTGGCTTCCTTCAGAGGCTAGGCTGCTCTTCTTCTCCGTTGAGTTCTTCCCTCAAGTCGTTTTCCATGTTCATCGAACGTCCCGAGATACACATAAGAAGACGTCTCTATATTAGAGGTGCCTCTAACTCCATTTCTGCATCTTCGCAAAGGGCATTCTCTATAAACTGAGGCTTCTTTCAATTTATTCGCAACTTGATCTTTTTCAGTACTTCGTATTTCCTTCAGCATCGTGTCTGCTTCAGTAATACTGCTTGAAAAGGGTACGATGTCGTCTGCAAAACGAAGGTTCGGCAAGAACTCCCATCAACACGTATGCCTCTCTCGTTACAGTTCAGTGTTTCCAACCCACTGCAAAGCCGCGGTGAACAGCTTCGGCGAGACTGTGTCGCCTTGTATCGCCCCTTTCCCAATTGGTATGGTCAGGGGGCGATAGAATAGCTGCATCGTCGCTGTAAAGTCGTGTAGCAGTTGCCTGAGGCCTCGAGCAGAATTCAAACGATTTCATAGTCGCGAATCATCGCGACCAGACAACTGTAGTAATATCATTGCATGCCGATCTTCTTGCATTTCGGTTGTGATGGTTTTCCGACATTACTATTCGTGACTAACATCACTACCGAAATACAAGAAGATCAGCAGGCAATAAACTCGTAACAGTTGTCTTGTAACGATGAATCGCGATGATGAAATCCGACACTACTAATCGTGAATTCTGCCCGAGGCCTAAGGCTCAAAGGACCGGGCATACTTTACGCGATTTCAATCGTGACGCAATTTGGCTATTCGCCCGAAGCCTTCAGATCGAAAACTAGCAAACCGTACATGCATAATATGCATGACATACGCGGATTGATGAAATACCCTATCTTCTGTACATTTAAAACGTGCTTACAATGAGTTATGGACAGTTGTGATATTGCCAAATCGCGTGAAGTATGCCCGGCCCTTAAGGCAGAATTCACGCGATTTCATCGCCGCGATTCCCCCAACAAGACAAATAGTTAAGAATTTATTGTATGTCGATCATCTTGCATTTCTATTGTGATAGTTAGTTACAACTGGTCCTGTTGGAGAACTACAGTGCTGGTAGAGCCGCCCTAAAAAGTAGCTGTAATTTGCCCTCCGACGAAATTGTCTGAAAAACCACTGCTCTATGTGTAAGCCAATGTCATATCATTGACTAGAACGGCCCTCAATTTCATCGATTTTGGCAGGAGAAAAAATTGAATCAAGTCAAATCTTCGGGACGGAACTGTTAATTTTACTACAAAAGTTTTGAGCGATTTTCGCTCGATAGTCAGTTTGGGTTATGATTACGCAGAGCGCAGTACCCATTTCTGAAGAAAGAGCATTCAAGGCGGAACCAAAGTTCTCAGGGTTGCGATGGTGTTCAAGTTGTGCGTAGAAGTCTATTGTGGTACAGACGACATATTGAGAACATGACAGAGCTTTTGGGCATCGGAACACTCGGCTTCTCTGGTTCAAAAGCTCGTCTTGCCACACATTCATTGCCAAAAGCTCAGCGAATCTTAAGACATTCATCTGAGTTGAACAAGTGCTTGAAATTTCGGCGAAGGAGCAAATATGAAACAATGTAAATTTTTATGCATCCCGGAGCAAAAAATGCATAACTTTCTTTTCAAAAGACGACAGCTCCCAGATGTGAAATGTCTCACATTTTGATGCTATCTATGTACAAAAATTTAGGTTCAACAATGTAGTATTGATTGAAAATGGGAGGTGGCTCTATAGCTGTGCCTTTCGGAAGAAGTTTTTTCAAAATGTTCATTTTTTTCTTCGGCCTAGATTGATAAAATTCGGAGCCATTCTGTCAGTAGTATGACATTGGCTTATACACAGAGTACTAGTTTTTCAGACAATTTCATCGAAGAGAGGGCAAATTACAGCGATTTTTTTTTTGATGGCTCTATAGCTATGGCCAGCAGTGTATCACAACCGAAATGCAACGATCGGCATGCAATAGACTCGTCTTGTTGGGAGAATCGCGGCGATGAAATCGTTAGGCCCCGGGCAGACTTCACGCGATTTGATCGTCGCGACTGAATCGCGACGAGACAACTGTTACAACATCATTCCATGCCGATCACTTGCATTCGGTTGTGATACTTTTCCAGCCCGACATTTTTGAATGTGAAATGAAAATGAATGGAAATCTTGGCGATTAGATCGCGACGATTAAGTCGCGTAAAGTCTGACCGGGCCTTAAACTCTGCCCAAGGCTAACGTCCTCCTGTAAAATGGGTCCACTTCTCCGTCGACAGCGCTCATAGAATGGGGTTTTCGCTGTCAAAGGCTTACGACGAAGGTTGAGACGAGAGGCAGTCGGTACATTCGACAGACGTGAATCTTTAAACCATTTGAATGTAGTCCATGCACCTGAATCCTTCGCGATTTTCAGCTTGTTCTTCGGACAGGCTTCATCCGTGTCCTGAATATGCAGGCGAGGAAGATGTTCGTGGAAAGCTTGTACAGCAGGCACATTCAGCAGACATATTGGACGGTAGTTCCGAAGATTCTCATATTCGCTCTTTTTAAAGAGGAAACCGGTTCTTGAAGTTCTCCACTGGTCGGGAATTCTCAACTTCTAAAATTAAGATGATGCGACTCGAGACTCTCGTGTAGAAGTTGCCCTCCGGCTCGGAGAAATTCGACGGAAAGATGATCTAGTCCAGAAATCATTGGCTTTTTCATTGTCTGGATCGTTGTGCGTACTTCAGCGAATATTCATAAATTTATACATTGAAAAGGAAGTGCAGATCTCGGGCACGCTATCTTACGAGTTCCAACTACTTCTTACTTTCGTTTGAAGCCTTAAAACATTCAGCATCTACATAGTATTCTCGAATCTTCTCTAGATCACGGATGATAAATGCAAGGGGTAAGCATGGGATTGACGGAGGCAGTTTGAAGAATTACGGTCTTTCACCGAGTGCAAGCTTAGATGCTGGCTTCAAGCTTTCACATTGGCGAAATAACTTTTTTGTTTGAAAATGTCCTTTAAACAATTTTCTGCAAAAAATTTTAGAATATGGACGTTTTCGCCAGAACTTACCACTATGAAACGCGCGAATTTCACAGCTTGCGTGTCCCCCCCCCCCCTTTATATATACAGTGCAGGACATAATTATAAAGACATTCTGGAAATTGTCGTAAATGCGTTTTTGTTGATGAATCTGTCTGAAACTTTGCTGTATAGTGCGCATGTTAGACCATGACCCCCCAAAACGGCTTTTAATTTTGTTAAGTTCGAACGGAGAAAAATAGAATCGAAAAACCCCCTCCAAAATCTGGACATTATAAAGGCACCTGGTTTTTTTTGAACACCATCGCATCCTGTGATTTTAAATTTTTTTGTACACTTCACACTAAATTATAAAACATTTGCAACATATGCGACCTGTCATTATTTTCAAAGAGAAATGTTCACGCATTTTCTGCTTCTAACAATAAGAGGCACTAAGAGTCAATCTGCTTCAACAAACAAATGGCTTAAGGAGTTTTCAAGCTCTTGTTTATTTCAAAAGATAGTTATGAAATCCAATGACCGTTCTGGATAAATGAGGTAAAAAGCGCTTTCGTAAACTCTGCGTAATCGCTGATATGGACGGACAGACTTTAACCTCAACATAAGCTTGTCACGCTTTTAAACCACGAAACTCAATTTGTAGTGTCCATGAAGTGCTAACTTGATTTATTACATTGCCTACATGATAATGCAGCTTTCGCAACAACTTTCAGATTTTCTTTAACACATTCACGACAATACGACCCACCGGTGGGTCGTACGTGTTCTGCCATTTCGGACAATACGACCCACCGGTAGGTCGTATGCTTTCTGAAGTTTTTGATTTTGCTAGTTCACGGTGAAACTTTTTAGACAAGCCGAGTAAACTCCTGCATACACCTCTTAGAGTACTTCCCAAAAAATTAACACTTCAGACCACAGGGCCCATCAGTGACCTAAAAATATTCCGCAAACTCAATTTTGCGAAATATGCTCTGGTCCGAAATGGCAGTCAGCGAGAAATCGGCCCTGTCGTGAATGTGTCAATGATGCGGTCGCTACTTCGACTTGAAAACTTTCTACGAGAATTCTATGCGAGGAATGGATTCGAGATAATCATAAATCTCAATAATCATAATTTTCCTCTCTGTTTCATGTCAGAATCTACCCAAAGAATGAGATTAGCTAAGGTTTTGAAGTTCTGAGCGGTCTCCGGTTTTATCTCGTGATCTGAGTTACCATAATAATTACAATTATGCAGAGTGCTCCACTCATCATTCAGTGAATGGCAACTGCGGCTGAACCATTATTCAGACTTCAAAATTCTTTCCTAACTGTGCACACAAGTTTACTGTTGTACAACCGAATGGCTACATTACAGTATTTTCTGTTGCTTGAAAATTGAGTTTCGTGGTTCGACAGACCTATGTTAAGGTTGGAGTCTAAAGTCTGTCTGTCAATATCAGCGATCACACAGAGTTTACGAAAGCTCTCTTCAACTCATTTATCGAAAAGGCTCAGTGGACCCTGGACTCCATGACTATCATTTAAAATGAACAAGAGCTTGAAAACTTCTCAAACCAGCTGTTTGTTGAAGCAGATTGACTTTGCTGCTTCTTGAAAGCAAAAAATGCAGCGATCATTTTCCTCTTTGGAATTAAGGGTCGCGGATGTTGCAAATGTTTCACACTTCAGTGTGTAACTGTACAAAAAACAATTAGGGAGGGGATGCGATAATGTTAAAAAAAACCAGGCGTCTTTATAATTTTGTCCAGCCGCTAGGAGTTTTTCGAATTTTTCTAAGTTTCTTCATCCAAACTCAACAAAATTTGGAGCCGTTTTGAGGGTCATGGTAGACTAAAATGCGCACTATACAGCAAAGTTTCAGACAGATTCATCAACAAGAACGCAAATTACAATTTCTAGAGTGTCTTTATAATTATGTTCAGCATTGTAGTACTATGGCAAAAATTTTGCACAAAAATTGATAATTCTCTGTTAAGGGCATGGAGCTCGATCTGCTCGATAGGTATGTCCGTGACCGAGCTGAGCTTCAGATGGAAGACCTCATTGTGACAAACGACAAGTGAGTTCACCAATTAATGCAATCTCAAAAAGGGCTTCTGAAGCCAGTATTTGTTAGCGCTTTGCAGCATACAGGGCAAATTGTAGTGTGTTAAAATTAGTTTATTTTGAGTAAAGTATGCATCAAATGCGGTTACCATTTGATACGGCTTGAAGGCAGCGTCCCGACAAAGTGGAGGCGGGGTGCCTTTGTCTCCTTTTGAACCATGACTAAAATTAGGAGCGGAATAGGGGCATACTAAGCCTACAATTCGCTCCAAAACCTACCCGGATCCCGCTTCCGCAGAGATTCTTCCCAGCTTAGACTGTATGTTAAAGCGCTCATACTTCCAGTCATAATCGTAGGGTTCCACAACGTCTCCATGCCTGAAGTAAAATTGACATTTTCACGCTTTCAATCTGCATATGTGGAATCAATGGAAAGATAAGCTCAGTTAGGGGTTTTTTCTTGGGTCTGTTCGGAACGTGCCTTTAACTTGAAGTCAGACACATACGCGTTAGTGTTGCAGTGTCATGAAATGCTCGCTAACAGGCAGCAAATGTTTTTACGGCAGACTTTTTGCTACTCTAGCAATCGATTGAAAGTGTATACTTCGCCGCTCGAGTATTATCTAACAACAAGAAGCAATGGAAATTATGGTTGTTTCATTCGCCATTCTTTCGATCAAAAATATGACATACAAATGCAATGTCTTTGAAACTTAGGCTAGTCAGAGGACTCGTATCAATTATTACACCAAACTTGTGCAACTTTAAACCTTCGCTTGAGTAGTTTAATGCAACTTTTATCTCTTTTTTTTAATTTGAAGCCCTAATTTGATATCCATACATCTATTCACCTTGTCACTTCTGTCGCACTCTCGCATCACAAAGACGCCGGCTTTGACATGCTGAATCGCATTCAGTTTCCTTTTGTTCAATCGCTTTGCCGGCAAGAATCAATAGCTATACACTAGCTCACTGCGAAGGCTTGGGTGAAACAGTTTCGGAAATTCATAGCAACGTCATCTGCTCAATTTTGATAGTACATTTAGTTTACTTAAGGTGAGAGCGAAGAGCTCAGCATATGTAGCATATGTACATTGCCTAATGTACCGCCGGAGATAACTTGTAGAACCTAACGAAAAGTGTGGTGGAACCGCTTCATACTTGTGATGTAGATTGAGTATTCAGAAGCTTCTGTACCAGGAGTTGGCGGCTCGCGATGCAAGTCGCACCTTGGAACATGGAGGTCGCAAATTTTGCAGACGATGAGCCATTCACAAACCATCATGGTAGCCAGGTTGCGCACACCGCACTGATTGGCGGACCTCTCCGTTCAGTCATATGGTCTCTTTTGACGTTACTTGAGCGATTTTTCAAGTGAAATCGTGTTCAGGGAGGGCTAGCCCATGTGGTCGACAAATCTTCCTTCAAGGGCAGCAAAGATGTCAATTGCATTTTCGACGCGATATCAACACGTTGACGACAGTGCCGCGCAATGGTGCGCCGCAGGCAGTCTGTCCTGGTGGAAGATGCCACGCAATGGTGCCGGCGGCTTAATTTCAATTCTATCTGTCCAATCCTCTCTTTTTGTTCATATAATCATTAGGCTCAGATGTACTGGCAAGCTCCGTACATTATATAAAAGTGAGGGAGTTCGCATAAATTCTTAAAAATTAGGCAATTTCCGACATTTTTGGCCGAGTGGGAAAGCTTGCCCATGGGGCGGGGCATGCACATTTTTATTTCGTGCATGGATGCATGCATAATATCTGCTCCATGACAAAGGCGGTCGCCCATATAGGTCGAAAGCATGCAAGGCTGACGCGCGCATGGCAATTATCAACCAAGAGACGCGCGCGGACGACCGCTGACAGGGCGTACACGTGCAGGCATCCCGATTGGCGGAAATGCGTGCGCGCTGCCGTACTCTTTGACGGTGAGCTTTAGAAGTGCTGAATGAAACATTGCTTCAAGTTTTCTAAGGTTAGAGACGCTCCTTCGGTGGGCGATTTGGGCACCTCGTTGTTTATTGTTCGCGTTTAATGGTAGTGATATTAAGTGGATATTCTATCATTTGCAGTAGCCTAAATTGAGTTGCATAGTTTGTGCTGGGTTACTAGCGGATGAAGTTGCTAACGAACATCAGGTCTCAAGTAAGATCAAGGGATACACGACCAAAGGAGCCGCTATATCCTGTAAATTTTACTGAGGAAAAAGGCATGTGCTCAAAGTTGTCCGTGAACTTCAAGAGTTGTGAGCAATCCTGTTGTGGAATATTTTGATAGCAAAAAAATCTTTTAATCATTATTTTTCCCTTATATGCAAACAACAGCGAATTGAAAAGTCAGCATTGTTTTCTAACACATCAATTCTTCATGAAATGCTTTTTTGGCGGATGCTGCTTCGTGTTGGTCGTAAATTGACGTGAATCGAACTTGATTCTTGTCTTGAAACCGTTGACAACAAGTTGACTGATGGACTGAACAGTAATGAATAAACTTCGTGTTTCAGTTACGACGAGGACCATAGACGTTTCCAAAGATATGAGATACAGCTGAAGTACAACGAAGGACGGTATTCTGCAATCTACATAGTCTCTAAACAAATAGGCATTGAGTAAGATTTTTCAGCAGCATATGTTATGTTCGATGGTGGTGATAGAGAGTCAAACATTCTTACAACTAACAAGAGAAGGATACCAATTTAGTTTGGCATACAGAAAAACACGTAATATTAGACGCGGCTTTGAACGCTAGTTCCGAATCTGCTTCCTCTACCGCGCAACAACTCTGGAAAAAGTTATGAGCTTTTAAAAGTCTGCATTTGTCAACCTTGATTGGCATGAAATTAGCGAAAAGCTGCACAAGAAAACGCATACGGATTATAAATGGCTGGCTGTATTCTATCTTTGTAGTCAATATAATCAATAAAAGATTGAATTTATACTTTTCAGGTGTTTTTGTACAGCTCTTCGCTACTTAAATCTGCTTAAGATTAGACTAATTTGGATTTCTTGAAAGCGCAAATTTCTTTCGGAGAGTTGTTCGCGAAAACGGGAGAAGATTGGGAATTATCGTTCAAAAGCGCGTCTAGTAATATGCACACTAATATGCTTGCCACATCATGTTGGTAAGGGTTGGGCCAGATTGTTCGGCGTACAAAGCGCAGTTTAGCCCCTAAGAATTGTTTCGTAATGCACTAGTCATGATGGGGCCGGCAAAGGATAATCGATCCGACTGTCGCTGCTGCAGCGACTGCAGTCTGAAACAGCCCCATCCTTTCCTTTCAAGTGCAATAATGTGTGGTTTGCGTGCTACGTTTAAGCGTTGCATATACTGATCAGTCAATGTTTAAAGTAACTTCTTTCAAGTGAGCTTGTTGTTTTGGCAGAAAGAGAAATTAACGCAAACAAAAAATATACGAAAAACTACTCTCTTGCGAAAACCCAGAGCTAGTTAGTTGTAAAGTTCTGCAAAAGCTGTCCGTGAAACAGTTGGTTGAGGGAAGTTTGTGTATCAATTGAACGATCAGGAGAAGTTGAAATTTTCGCCTAGAAATTTGACACTTAAAAATTTTTGGCATATTTTTTTGCAAGTTACAACTGCAAATGATTTGACCGCACTGACCTTCTGACCTTACCGTAAGTACCCTATTACTGGAACGGAAGGTATACATATTGTATATCCTCCGCTCTCGTACTGCTCAAGGGTACTCAAGTAGTACGCGCATGTGTAAAAACAATCTATCTTGTTTCAAATCTACCCCACCCCTGAACAGATAAATTAACAGGGTTGCGCAGATTCTTATTACCACACACTGCTGAGCTATTCTTTTTTGAAAATCACTTTATAGGGAGAACATTGTGGATCAAAGTGGATTATTTGCGCTAAAGACTGGGATACGTAATGGAAGCGCCACCTTCAATATCAGAATGAAGGTTTTGCTTCTTTTTCAAGGTTAAAAGATTTGAATGTTAAATTTAGAGGGAATACCGAATCCTTGCGCAACTCACCAAAGCCAAAGCAGCATGGGCGCCCCACTTAGTTGACAGTGGGACAGTTTGTGACATGCCCTTCATCGGTACTAATTTTGATTACTTAAGCGGATATACATGTGCTACAGCACTGCTAATTCCAGTAATGAACCTCCTTGACATGAACGTCGAAAAATTGCGAGAACTGCTAGGTGGAAAGTTCCGTAACTCTTCGGCCTTCTATATTGCAGGAGAAGTGCTTAATGGTCTACAGGTGAAGAAGAAAGATTTTTACCACATATTTCAACTGAAAGTACAAAATATAGAGCTGCTATGACTGGACTCGAACATTCAGGAGCTACATCATATGGGCTTCATACATAGAGACATCAAACCGACAAATATCTGCGTTGGAGTTGGAGGGCAATCTGCCCGAGTCTACATTATAGATTATGGTGAAACAGTTCGAAAAGGAAAGAAGATTCGGTAAGTAAGAGGCAGTGCTCAGCATTGGGTCACGGATTTTGGGAACGAAGTTCCATGGCTTTCTGAAATTGTAAGATGCATCTGTGTCCATAAGAGACAGAAACAACAGACTATACAATGGAAGCTTACAAAATGTAGCTTTGTGAATGTAGCCACGAAGAAAGACTCTTTAAGATGAAAATTGCCAAAAAATGTTTGAAAACATCTAGTTGAAAAGCATGACTTACTCTCAAAGTACTAGTACCCGATGTGAGTGAGCAGTAGTAAGAGACTTCTATTTTATGACTTTTTGCAAGAAAATACCGCATATAAATCAAAGGAACTCAATTTTTTGGCGTTTCAGTGGACGCGAAAAACTGCCTTTTCGTTCTCTGTCTTTCTATTCCAAAAAATGTAACATCCTCAGAAACTGTTTTTATCAAAGACCAATGACTGAATGCAAGCTAGATTTGCGGATAATTAGTGCCTACAAACTAACATAAGAGTTGACTTGTGGAAAGAGTGTAGGTTTGACCGGCATAGCTGCGATTGATAATGCTGGCATATGTCATGTCTGTATGTTACTGTTAGTTGTCTGTTATGTTACTTGGAGTCTACTCAACCGTGGTGTCTCGCCAGACCATCTATCAACTTTTCTAAGTTCCTTTGCCTTTTAGTCGAGTGTCTTGGAATACAGGCTTTAAACCGAAAAGGCTGAAATAAAGCTTTTTTCTGCAGATTTCAGATCCCCGTTTGGATAAAAGTTCAGTTAAGACTTAGAACTCGGCACGAGGTTGTTCTGCTTCTTAATTGAACTCTCATCCAAGATTTTGTATCTGCTGTAATTCCCCTTTGCTGTGATTTTGTATTGGGTGGTGTGGACAACGTTTTGAGTCAAGAACACAAATGCAATCGCATTTGCAGAACCTGAATCCGCTAAAGCACTATCAGTATACCAGATTCCGTTAGAATTTTCACAAATCTAGTCTCCAATTTCAGATACGGTACACCTGACTCGTACACGTTGCCATACTGGAGTGTCGACTTTCATCGGCGGAAAGCAGCATATGAAAAGAGCGATCTCGAGAGCTGGTTCTACACTGTTGCCGATTTGTGCGTATAGCATTAGCTCGTGTTTTGTGATGCAAACGAATTTCCAGATTATCTCCATCCAACATAAAGTGGCGCGGAGAGTTGAATGAACCTGAAGTAGTTAAAGCAAAGACAGAATTCTGGTCAAGTAATGTGGCAAACCATGACCAACAGTTGCTGCAGTGTCTCTATAAGTTTACAGGAGTTCCTGCGAGCTTGTCAGAGTGTCCGATGGCATTGATAGCAATAGCCGAACTTCTCGCACAAGAAAAGAAAGTAGATGTAGACAAACTCAAACGATATGTTAGATCAGGATTGGAGCAATGTGTTAATATGAAAAAGTCAGTGTTTTCGCGAAAACTTGTTGAGTATTCCTTTTGTGAAATTTCAAATCAAATAGATAGTTTCAACTGCAGGTTCACTCCAGAATGGGTTAAAGGTGCAAACATTTCAACGGCGGTCGGATCCAGGAGCAAATCGAGAACACCAGTCGCTGCAAAATGATAGCGAAATTTCAAAGCTTCAGCCGACCATACTTTACTTAGACGCGATTCAAACTTGACTAACTTACTAGTAATAACAAACTTGCCACAGGTGTTATCTATCTACGTGTGCATCAAACAAAAACGGAAAAATACCACGAATCTATAGTTACTTCATAGCTATTAATGTTAATCAAGTAATGCACTCAAAGGTGCGTCAGAAAACAAAAACAAAGGAATACAATGTTGTCAAGTATCATTACTTGAGGCAAACGCAACTGGAAAACTGTCACAGAGGTGGTCAGGCCTTTTTCTAGTACAAAGTGAGGAAGCATTAACCGAGCTCCCTGTGCTTTAGTGGCGTTCGGTGCAGCACAATACTAGGGCATGGATGACCAATTCAACGGTACCAGATGACCTTGTGCAGACCAAAGAGAGCAGTTTGCTTGGCTATGGGGCAAGTTGTATGCGTTTTATCCTCGTAAGAGACAAGTTCTATGTTCGAACTTGGTTTACTTGGCGGCAACAACAGTTCTGTACCAAAGTCCTAGATTTTCTCAGCTTGATAAACCTCTTCCTTTGACAAAGTGATTCAACTATCCCGGGATGGGGGGGGGATAAAAAGCTTGCTTGGCTTGCAAACTATTATCGATTCTTGATCTCACTCATAAATGTCAAAACACAGCACATTTCCTATGCCAAAGTAGAATATACCAATTTTTCTTTGAGTTTCTCTCTTTTTCAACCTTGTCGTGCAAGGATGCTAGACACATAAGGCATGCCATTACAAAGCTATCTTGAACAACATTTTCCCAGGTCAAGCGCGTTGATGAAGGATTAAGGATTCGGCGTTTTCAGTATCCTTTGCGAGCAGATGAATGATTCCACTTCATGCCCGAAGAGGCGTCAACCTTTACAGTGATTTGCGAGGTTAGCCGGTTACCAAATTTGCTTTCTCATCCTTCCAATTACCGTGACACCAATTTACCTGCTCCGGAAGATAAACTTGTCACGCTCTTTTTGAGCATGCAAAGAAGTCACAGCTTGGACTGCAAACTTGCGCGTATCGAAAAAGCATGCGCTTTTGCTCATTAGTTAACAAAGAGACTTCACTTCGCAGAATGAGTGTTGTGTAATGTGATGCATGTCTATAGGCTCCAAACCCAAAGAAATGGATCTGAAGTTTCTGAATTATGTAACCTTAAAAGGATTGCTATGTTTTCCCGCAAAATAGAACCAAGATCTCATTAGCGAATGGGCTAGATCCATCTACGTCGCACACGGCATACATCGGCGTTGTAAACAATGCAGTTCTTCTAAAAATTGAAACAACTGAAACAAAAATTCAAACAAAAGTTGCGGCGTCGCACGCGACGTTCGCGTTGCCGCAATATGTTGGAACCATTGCTCGACTTGCCGTGTATCTCGTGAATGGATAGCGGCGACACAATTCCATATTTTGGAAGTATGGGCTTAGGCGTCAACTTGATAGCTTTGGAGTGAGACGATTCTCACCGTAGATCAAAAGACCTCATAAAACCGCGTGCTGCACCATGTGCGGGGCCTGTCCAAAATGGGTCAAGAATACAGACAAGGATACTGAATCGATGTGGGATCGATAAGTGTGTTTTATCTTGATTGACATTTCTTTCAAATAAACGGTTAGCATTAAAAAATTCGATTCTCAATTGACATTCTGTAAGCCGTTTGAAAATTAATCCACAGGTAACGCCATAATTTGTTCCGGTGCGCATCGGTAGAATATGAGCGCTGTGTCGCCGATGTTGCAGTACAGTAGCGTATCCCGTTCAAACTCCATACAAATTCCAAACTTCTTTCCAAAAATGCACTGCCACTCGGATTTCTTGGTTGCCTATAAGAATTAGAGCTTAGTTGTAAACTCAGAAAGAAGGTACCTCAGTAGTGTGACCAACATTTTTTAGTAGATAATTTTGACTTTTCGTCTTTACATTGAAGGAGACTACTCAAAATGTGCCGATATGTGCCGTCTGCACTTCTTCTTGAGTATCATATTCTGCCGAAGCACCGTAAAGATCATGCCGTAAGCATGACCTGCTGTGATATAGTTATGTTCAGGGCCCGGCACGAGGTGGGCAAATGGGGTTTTCCAAAACGAATTCCCCTTTGATCCCAAATTTTTTTTACGAATACCCTCTTGAGCCCAAGAACGATGCTTTATGCTTGTGCAACGAGAGCAACCGGCCACACTTCGCCTAAAAGCGCTCAAATTCTTCTAATTATTCCTCATCTTTATCAAAATAGAAAATAGGAAGAAGAATAGGCAAGAAAAATGATGAAGGAATGAAGAAATATCAAAGTAACGCAGTTACATTACTGAGAAATGCCGTTCGCGCGTATCGATTGACTGGAGCGCGTTTTCCTCCTTAAAAAGCTGGGCTGCTATGCGATTTTGGGCTCTAATGGAGACAAGAGGAGGATTTGGAACCAAAATTCTACCATATGGTAAGCTTTAGGTGTACAACATATTTATGTAAGAATTTTGAAAAACTTATGTGAACTGAAAGCTTTGCCTACCTTAGGTGGGCTTAGGTGGGCAATTGCCCACCTATTTGGAAAAAAGTTGAGCACGCTCTTCATTCACATAAGTTTTCCATAGATTTTCAAACTTTGTTCCTTAGTCCTACTGCGCGTGTACACACCAAATCTCGCGCGATTTCGTTACCTCTGCGTTGCAAACGAGCCATTTTTCCATTTTTTAGTAGCGGGAAATTTCCAGAAAAGCTTGCTTCAACCTTCAGTCACATAATTTTTCAATGAAACTTCTCAGTTAACTGCTGCAAAGCCGGGTCCATGTAACTACCAAGCTTAATGCCATATTTTGCCTGTGCTTCGCAAATGAGCCACTTGAATATCAACTACATTCACCAGTTATGGGTTTTTGGAAAAAATGCTTGGTACACCTTCCATTCACATAAGTTTTTCATATTTTTTCATACTTTGTTTCCACCAGCCTCTGCTCCTTGTTTACGAGATTTGGTACCATATAAATATGCACGCATTGAGAACTAGTCATGTATCCTCTGCGCCCCAGAAAGGTTCCCATGTGAACCAGCGTGCGTACCTAGTACGACGTTGCCTTTCGCTCTTTTTGACACGTTTCTCCTGAGATCAATTGAACTGCCCAAGGGTAACACGTTCAAAAAAGCGAAAAGCAGCGTGGTACCCATGGGAATCTTGCTGGGGAACAAACGATACGTTTTTTCCAAAAGGCATCGGACAAGCGACGTCGCGCGTGCGGCAGTCAGCGGCGGCGCGGTTTGATGTGCGCGAACTCCACTGCGCGCCTGTTGAGGCACGTATTAACATGTTAAGATAAGCAGAGAGCACAAACCACCATTTTTTCCGAGGCTCTGCTCCCGAAAAAATGGTAGTTCATAGATCCCGCAAAAACGATAACCCCTTTCCTTTTCTTTATTCAAAACGATTTTCAGCCTATCATTTGCCCACCTCGTACCGGGCCCTGATTATGTTTGCTGCTCAGTTATCTTATACCACAACGCCCGTTATCGTTAGCACCCTACTACTGCACTGATAGTGCACGTCGTCTGATTCGATAAAGCGCAAATACTTTCGTATTCTACATAACGCACTCCAAGAGGCGCTCTTTCGCCTCATGCCGCAGTAAAGCCCAGGAGCCACCGATACATAAAATTGAATCTTTTGAAACAAACTTTCTTGTGTTAGTTTTTCTATACTAAATTCGTAAAGGGTGTCAAACCTTGAGGGAATGGAAGTTCGACTAAATATATATTCTCATCTGCGAGATAGCGTGCTGGCGCAGAACTGAGGCTAATATGATAATTAAGATCATAAGAGCGTGCAGCTAAAATATTTGCATTCAGAAGGAAAGATAACTCGTAAAAAACATGAATTTGTTCGGGTTTCTTATTCGAGAGTTTTCACCCGCAGTGGATTTAGAATTAACGTTCGTGTTTCACAGCAAGCTTTTACCAAGAGAGGATCGCGAAGTTGAAGTGGCCGATTATCACAGGATACATACGTTTACAAAAAGCTTGAAGCGCTAATTTCAAATCCACATCTGCACAACGCTTGTGGGAGGAAGTTATGGGCGTTTTTGTCGTAAAATGCATGGTTTTGGTGAAAATTAATAAAAAATTGCTTCTTTCGCTAACATTCAAAAAAGACTCAGCATACATTGAGCATGGATATGCTGTCCCAAGGAGGTTTGAGCCCAAAATGCTGAAGTTTGATAATTCTGACTATCTCAGCCCTGCAGGGTTCCCTTGAATAAAAATCCATGACAACATTCTTCCTAGTGGTAAATCAGCGCTCCAAATTCTTTGTGATGATATGCATCTTATAGTGATCGGAAACTTGACTCGATGACTCTCCCTTATTGAAGCTACGGTAGGCATGCTATAGATGACAGATCGCGTGATTTTACGTAACCAAATTTTGCACCTTTGAAATGTATGCCCTCCTGCATCGCTCCGTCCCGTACGCGCGCCTGCGTTCCTTACCAAAGTGAACGAGTTGTTCGCAACGATATTATCAGTATTGTAGCCGGTAATACACAACAGTCATAAAATTCTGAGCACTTTAAAGCATGAACTGCACTTTTTTGAACTGAATACTACACTTGAGTTTATGTTGTGAATCAAAGTTTCTTCCCTTTGTGAGGATGCTTTTGCGCAACCGCATAATCTTTTAATCTGCGTAGTTTCAATCTGCGCGTCTTCGTCTCCAACGGTAGTCGAGCTCTAACTTAGCCAATTGCTGCCGCAGCGGTGACCAATCAGAAGCTGCTACGGCGAGCGCTGCAGAAGGTCCGTCTCCCCAACTTTGTCTGTAATTCTCTCTTTTTGATCATGGCTCACTCAAATTTCGAAATTTTGTAGAATACGAAGTGAGCTGTAGGCTGCTGCATGACGAAGGCGCAATATCGTCGGGCGCGAACGCGGCTTTATTAGTCGCAAAGCGCACGAGGCGTGGGATCTACAACGATGAGGATACGCGCCCTCCTCGCGCCCGCTCAACCAATATCACCTCTGCGCCTTGATCACGCAGTAGACCTTACAGATTTTTGCAACCTATTTGACTTTTGATAAATAACGTAAAGGATACGCGCAT